TCCTCCTTGGGCTTGATCGAGGCAGTAACGTCTCCTGGACGATGCCGTTAACCATTGCGTCGCTTTGTCTCTCTCTCGCCATGTTCGTGGTCTTTGTGTTGATCGAAATATACTTCGCCGCTGAGCCGTTTGCCCCTGGTCATATCATCTTCAACCGAACCTTCTTTGCCAGCTACTGCTGCAACTTTTTTAGCTTTGGTGGCTGGCTTGCGGGACTTTTCTTTATTCCTCTGTACTTTCAAGCTGTTGATGGCGTGTCTGCTACGGTCTCTGGCCTGCGCCTCCTGCCGAGTATTATAGCCGGTGTTTCGGGCTCTCTGTTCGCTGGCTATGTCATGAAATGGACAGGGAAGTACTACTGGCTAACTATCATTGCTTATGGCCTCCTGACAGTGGGTCTGACCACCATCTACCTTTTCACGGGTGGGGTTACTCAGAGCCTTATTCCTATGATCCTGGGAATGGTGCTCTGTGGCTTTGGGAACGGGATCGGTGTCACGACCACATTAATCGCCTTGAGTGAGTGTTTCCTACCTTGTTTGCTACCTCGAAACTCTGTAAAACTGATGGTTTAGTTTCAAATGTGACGCCCGAGGACCAGGCAGTTGTTACTGCCTGCTCGTACCTTTTCCGCTCCCTAGGTTCGGTTATTGGTGTGTCGTTATCCTCCACCGTGGTTCAACAACTCCTGCGCAGTCAGCTCAGATTCGCTTTGCGTGATAGCAAGGACATTGATCGTATTGTCGAAGGAGTGAGACAGAGTCTGGACTATATCAAAACTCTCGATCCTACAGTTGCCAGGATCGTGCGAGGTTGCTATGGGTGGGCTACCAATAAGGGGTTTGCCTTTATGGTTGCCATCGTCTTCTTCGCTCTCCTGAGCAGCTTCTTCATTCGAGAGAGCAAGCTGAGTCGGTAATCGATCGTGGTTCCTTGAGCCGATCAGTTGGCGGTATGGGATAATCGAGAGACACCTATCCCACACACGATGGCAATGTGGGATTTGTGCATATGGGGATTTCGGTAGATGTCCATAGATGCGATGACGATATATAGATATCTCGTACCTCACCAACCCTGTGACGAAACCAGGGCCAAAATTGCACATTGTTTATCTTTGGTCCTATACAGTTCACTTTAGCATGGTATTCAATGTAGAAGCTCTTGATGGGACTGATCTATGCGTCATTCCCATCGATTACCTCCGCGGAGTGACAAGAAATGGGCCCAATCTTTGTAGGCGGTCGAGGCCGTGACCGATCAAAGCCGCCCGCTACTATTTCCCTACAAACACAGCTCTCCAGATATATTTATGCGAGACCTTTCATTATCCGCTCCTTACGCATTAATTTCACGCGGTTTAATACTCCTATGTTCTTATTTTGATGAACAGTGATGATAATGATATCAGCTTCCTAATCTCTGCAGCAGTTGCAAACCACCCTGCTCCGTCATGTCGGAGTCCCAATCACGACCAGTTTCCCTGACACGGTATCGTCCTGCTCTTTACCTGCTTACAGGTGTAGCCGCAGCCTACGCTCTGGTATACATTCACAATAATATTCTTTTCCCCTCATCGCCCCAAACACCTCTACGTCGCCGAAGAGCTGTCCGCCGAAGACGAACCGGACCCGACGAGAGCGATGTCAGCAATACACCATCGTACCGCGCGATTGCTCATCTCGAACAACTAGAACGTCAGAATGGGGTGTATGGCACCTTTCGCATTGAGACCGAGGACGGACGCCGCGTGGAGAGCGGCCTCCTCCCATCGCTCCTGGCTACGCGCGATCAGCTGATGGAGGAAGTCGGCGTCCCGCAGGCCCATGCCGAGCGGATGCGCGAGATGATGGAGGAGACATTCCTGGAGTCATTCCTCGCTCTGGATTTCCCGTCGGCACATACAATTGAGGAAGGGAGTGCGGAAAGGAACTATCTCATCGAGCAGCTGCAGCGGCGGGGGATTTCGCGGACGGGGATCGAGAGGGCGCTGGCACGGTTTAACGAGGATGACAACTACGGCGAGGAGCTGCGACGGCGGCGTCAGAATGGAGAGAGGGTTACGCTGTCTACGTCTACGTTTCCCGAGGAGTCGGTGCCCTTGCAGAACTTGGATGGTGGGGAGACGGTGGTCGACGATCAGAGTGTCTTCTCCTGGCGGGAAGGGAATAACGAGTCGTCTCCGGCGCAAGAAGGCCAGAATCTCCTGAACCTGTTATATCACATTGCGGAGGATCAGTCTAGACGAGATGGCTATATCCACCGACAAGTGACGTGTAATAGCTGCGGCGCCATGCCCATTCAAGGCATACGGTATCGGTGCGCAAATTGCATTGACTATGACCTGTGCGAGACATGTGAGGCAATGCAGGTGCACATCAAAACTCATCTCTTCTACAAGGTTCGGATCCCGGCGCCCTTCCTAGGAAATCCTAGACAGTCGCAGCCGGTGTGGTACCCGGGAAAGCCTGCCATGCTGCCTCGGAGCCTGCCACGCGCGCTGGCGAAGCGTTTGATGAAGGAGACCAATTTTGAGAACACGGAATTGGACGCTCTCTGGGACCAGTTCCGGTGCTTAGCCAGCTATGAGTGGCCAGACGACCCAAACAAGTTGTGCATGGCTATCGATCGCAAAACGTTTGATCGATGTTTTGTGCCGCTTACTTCCATCCGCCCTCCGCCCCCATGCCTCATATACGACCGCATGTTTGCGTTCTATGACACGAACAATGATGGATTGATCGGGTTTGAAGAATTCCTCAAGGGTTTGGCCAGCTTAAATAACAAAAGCAATGACGAAAGGTTGCGGCGAGTGTTCCGCGGCTACGACATTGATGGAGATGGCTACGTGGAGCGCAAGGATTTCTTGCGGGTTTTCCGTGCATACTACGCTCTCAGCAGGGAGCTAACTCGCGACATGATTGCTGGCATGGAAGATGACTTCCTAGAGGGAGGCGCACGAGATGTCGTGCTTGGAAGTCAGCCCGTCAGCTCGGCATTCCCTGGCAGTATTCCTTCCGGGGAGCCATCAAGGACTGGGGAAGGGAAGCGCTTGAATTCCGAAGGAGATCTTGAAATCGTGGATAACCAGGGTATACTACGTCAAGATGGCACCGACACAGGCGACCGACACGCTGTTGTAGGGGAGGCAGCTGTCCGGGCCAGATGGGGATCCAGAGGGTCTCTGTTTCCAGCACAACTGACAGCACAGGCAAACTCGACTGCCGCAGATTCCAGGCGCGGAGATTCGAATGTTCCTCGTTCAAGCGATGCACAACAAGGGAACGACGAAGATGCCAGCTCCGATGAGGACGGGTCCAGCTCCTCAGTGGCCAGTGACTGGCCCGGCACGGAGAACATTCTCGAACAAGATATTGTCAACGCTCTCGGGACTCCTGTCCCTCTTCAAGAGGTCACTGACCCTGAGGACAGAGAACGCGTTGCTGATGTTGTCTTCCGTAGAATGCGTGATGACCACCACAGAATCCTAACGGACGTCCGCAGGGACGGCATTGATGAGCGGTGGAGACGGAGGGCCTTTTACACGGACGTAGAAGATGGTGCCACTGCTCCCGAAGGCTATGTGAGCGATCCTGATGTTGACCATCTGTCCGAGGATGAGGATGCCCCCGGTCACCCTTCAGCTCTCGATTCCCACCCTCCATCCCCTCGTTCTCGATCATCGTCCAAGGTGCGCTTCCAGGACGATCTCACCGATGACTATGACGTCAGATCAAATCCCTCTACTTCGTCTCGCAGTATTCCTGTAGGCGAGCGGTGGGGTGGGTTTGAGATCCCCGAGGTCGAGAAAGACGTCGGGAAGGAGATCTTGTATCAGGTAACGCAGCAGGGGTTCAACGAACTTCTTGACATCTTATTCAAGCCGAAGGAAGATCTGCTCATGGAAGCCTATCGGACCCGCACAGAGCGCAAAATCTGGGCTCGCGAGATCGAACTTGCGGAGATGATGGATCCTAAGAAACGGATGGCACAGGAGGGTGGGACAGCAACCGACGAAGAACTGCAGGAACTCCTGAATCGGACTGGTTATTCTTTGCGAAGCCCACAATTGGAGCCTCTACATCATAGTCCGGATTTATCTGTGCGTCCGACATTTGGGAGCCCGGAGAGTGTACAACCTGCGCACCTCGCCGATCCTGAAGAAGACGACGATTCTGCCAATTCTGCCCAAGTCGAGGACAGGGCCGAAGGGCTCATGGCCGCGAATGAGCCCGCGCGCCCCTTGACGCCGGAGTTTCAGGGAGCGACAGAAGCCAGCTCACTCCGTGATATACCGGCCTACGATCCGACACTACCACAATTTCGACCGAACGAAGAACCAGAACCTCCCTGTGAAGTGCGCGGCCTACCGGTTCCGGACCTTGACAACTCGCTCTTCGTCCCTATGACTTCTGTGTCGCAAACCGACCTCCAACAACAGCAGCAGGATCTCCCGGCGGAGCTTCGTCTTCAACCGGGTAGCACCGCCTTCCCTGTACCATCCTCCTCACCTGATGCCGAAGCCACCGCACCCAAGATGCCCCCTTCACCCATTCAACCTCTTCCTCCAGCATCATCTTCATCGCCCTCCCTCCCGCGACGCCATGGTCCCACGCTTCCTCCGTCCACGCTGACGCTTACTCGCTGGGCATACCTGAACCAGATAGAGCGGGAGGCGAAGGAACGCGGCGGCACAGGCGCCAAGCTCAACTTCGAGGAGTTTTCTCGCCGGATGGCGGCAGACCGGGGCCGCAGGTTGGCGTTTGTGGCCAGCTGGATCGAAATGGCTAGTTTTTAGCCTGTATCTCTTGTATAATATAAGGAGGGAAGAACAGGTGCTACTGCTACAAATCGTTGCATCTTACGGCATAGTAGGTAGATTAGGTGAATAAAATCATACCCTCTTGGGTAATTCAAAGACATCCATGCAAAGTGACGAGTAAACCTGTAGTATACACAGATAGCATGCCATGCCGTGCGAGCAACCAACCAGACGAAAATTAATCCCAGTATTTGATGACGCCCTCCAATCCACCCGTAACCACTTTACTCGTCTCCTGGGGATGCCAGTCCAGACACGTGGTGGCACCGCCCTCTTTCCCACCGGCCATGATCTTATGGTACATCTTGCCCGTCTTCCAGTCCCAGAAACAGACGTAGCCGCCGCTGTCACCGGACGCGACGAACTGGCCGTCGGGCGAGATCTTCACATCAACAGCGTACCCGGCGTTATTGTGGCCGCGGAAACTCTTCTTGCGGTTCTGCCGGAATTTGTCCGTGGCGCCGTACACGACGATCTGGTTGTCGCCGGACTGGAAGGCGACATACTTGCCGTTTGGATGGGGCGCCGCGCGCGTCAGGGCGAACATGTACGGTTCCGCGATGAACTTGATGGGCACGGGGATGCCGTACTCCCAGGCGCGCAGGGACTTGTCGTCCGAGGTGGAGATGAAGCGGCGGTTCTCGTCGACGAAAGTGATGGTGTTGATGGCCGCCAGGTGGTGGTCGTATTCCTGCACCAGCTCGCCGGAGCGCGTGTCGAACTGCACGATCTTCTTGTCGGACATGCCGGCCAGGAACTCGTGGGAGTGGTCGGCGCCCGGGTTGAAGCGCAGGACGTGCGGTGTCTTGCCTGTGGAGAAGCGTGCGATGCACTTGCCGTACTCGGTGTCCCAGAGTTTCATCTGGCGGTCGTACGAGGCTGTCAGGAAGGTCTTGCCGGACGGGTGGAAGTCCGTGTCGGTTATAGCCTTGGAGTGGCCCGAAAAGGTCCGCAGGAGCTCCCGGGAGTGATACACATCCCAAATCTTGGCTTTGCCGTCAGCAGCGGACGAGAGAAGCAGGTGGCCGGAGGTGGGGAAGAAGCGCAGCGAAGTGATGGCCTTGGTGTGCGATTTCCAGGTGTGGATGAGCTTCTTGGGCACATAATTCTTGATGCTGCCGACCTCCTTTTCCAGGTCGACGTCCAGGTCCCGCGGGACGTGCATGTACGTCCGTCCCAGATAGTCGAATTGCTCGCTGCCGTGGAATTCGGTCGTTTCCACCTTGGACGCGTCGTCCTGGTATTCGGTCGCCGCCTTGCTCATGGCGGGCATGTGTGCCGGCGCCAGCTCCTCGTCCTCCTCCACGAACTCCTCGTCCGTTCCCAGCTCCTGACCCGCCAAGGCGGCTTCCTCCTCGTAGACACGGTCGTCGTCCTGGTACTTCGCCCAGGGTCCCAGATACGCGCCCTCGCCCTCGACGATGCTGGGGTCGCCCTTCTTCTGCCGCTTGGCGCGCAGCGCCGCAGACACCTCCTTGGACGGCTTCATCTGGATCACGTCTCGGCCTCCATGTTCTGCCGCACTGTTCAAATTCCCCACAAACTGGTCCGGCGCCGAGGGGTTTCGCGTGTATCCCAGACTCTGGAATGTGCGGTGCTGCGCGGCGAACGTTGCCTCGCTGATGGCGGCCTCTTCGGCGAATCCGGTCGGGACGTTTTTGCGTTTCAGGCCGCCGGCAGAGCCGGCTGGCTTGAAGGGGTTCGCCGGCCCTTGCGACGGTCGTGAGAGATCGTCATATGTTGCGTTGTAAGTGAGGGCGTTGGACGTGGTGTTAGCCAGCATGATCTGCATGTGCACTGGATCCTATGGGATCGTTAGTTCCATAGCCTTGATGCAAGAGGAAACCAATTTTTTCTGGAAAGAAGATAAGATCTGGCTGCTCAAGGGACCAAACCTCTGTGTTCACTTCGGGCGCAGCGACGACCTTGGTCGCTGGGGTCGCCGTTGCGACCTGGGGTGTTGTGGCGTCATCGTCGCTGGAGTAGTAGTCGGCACCTAATAATGATGCCATGTTGGAGATATGTCCTTCCGGCGATGGAATGAGAGTAAATAGACGTCTCAAACTACGTCGGATGGTTGATGGCTGTTGGTGTTCCTGGGAAAAGTGAGTCGCTACAGAGAGTCGGCGAGTCTGGAATTTTTACGGGCGACGGGACAACCACGAGCGAAGGCCGATGGAGAACGCAGGATGAGATCAACCACGCAACTATACACAACTCGACATCCATTCCTCGTATTGGGTATCAAATAATTGGCGTGCATATCCTTGGTCTTTTTTATTATTCTGTTATAGTTACATCACCCTAAGGGTATCGTACGCTCTTTATTGTCAAACCGCTCAAGAGGTATATACAGCATTACAGACATCAACAGCATGAAAATAGCAAAGGAACATCACAAGCAGCAATTACAGCATCATGGCATCTTGCCAAACCTTCCTCCATACGTCCTCTTTCTGACTATGACCAAAAGCAGTCAGTCAGGATCAAGAACCATCTATCATCACCACACCTCGTACAATCATTGACATCACCCAACATTGCATCTTATACCCACTGCTTGAATCTTGGCAGTCGCCTAGTCCAACGCTGCCCGTCAGAGTTTCATCACTGATCATGGACAGGTATTCGACGAGGCAAACGCCCTCGACACTTATCAGGCAGGCACTGAGGTCCAGGGATCTAACTTTGTCCCCCGTACGAGAAAAGACAGCGAACGCATCATTGACTCCTCAAGGGGAACGGCCGTAACGCATCGCATACTCCGTCTTGTCACGAAGTCAGTGGGATTCGTCGCGGATTAGAGCAACGATCATGCTGTAGAGGTAGAAGAAGAACATCAAGAGGTGGAAGCCTAGCTTGATGAAGGATTCCTGTTGACTTTCGTTAGCTGAACCTTCCCCGTGTGGCGAGATACAAGTGCCTATCTACCTTCTTGTGTACATTCAGCTTGCGGAAGATCTCAGTCGCATCCAGAAGGTGCTGGTTGTCAAGGATCCTAGAAACAGAAGACGGGTTAGCCTGGTCTCCCTATTCTCGCCGCCCAACTCAAACACTCCTACGGGGTCCCTGTTCGGACAAAACATACTTCTTGGCATTGAATGCCAACAGAGGCAGGTTGAGAATGAGCGCGAGCCAGTAGCCGTTGATCAGGAACAAGACAGTGAGGAAAGCGTGGACAGCGGCTTCGGGGATGATGTAGGCGTTAAGACGGTTGCAGAGGTCAATGGGGTTGATGTAGTCACTGCAGCAAGTAACCAGATTAGATTGTGTCACTTGATTTCAGAGGTCGCAACTACGGAGACTTACCATTCCAGATCGCTGTACATGATAGTAAAGAAGACCTGCAGGAACAGGTTGACGGCGTTGATGAGCACCGCCAACAGGTAGAGCCACGCTTCACCGGACATGTTGCTGATTCGACTGCTTCTAAGAGAGGGTGATGGAGAGGAAGACGATGAGGATAAGCCGGCGCTCGAGGCTCACACGAAGAATAGGGAGGCTGGTGGAAATAAGGTCTGGAGCTGTGGACTGCAGACTGTGGAGGGGTCTAGAGAGAGCAGAGTTGGGGGTGGATTCTTCCGCTCAGAAAAGCCGGAATGGAGAAGCGAGCGGGCGGTGAGGCCGAAAGAAGCCTAGACTGGGAGCTACGATAACGCAAATGATTAGGGGTTAAGAGTAGAAGAAGAGATGATCTGAGTGATAGTAGGTCTAAGGGTTCAATGTTGAAATCTCTCAGCTTGAGAATGACTTCAGCAAATGGAGAGAAGAATCTGACGCAGGAGGTTGGAGCTGTGCTGGTGGTTTGTGCGGAGTGATGATCTAACCAGTTGGAGTAAAAGAACAGGTAGGAGTCCAGGACGTCCACGCACATGTAATGGGATAATAATAATATGGAATATGAATCAGATGTTGATAAAAAGATCTGTTCAGATGAACTACTAAGACTACTACTGCTTCTACTAACGCTACAACCAGCATAGCATAGCTGATGCTGATTCTCTCGGTCAAACAATGACGTTCGGAACACGTGCTTCTATCCGCATCTGGCGTCTTCGATGGACCTCGTCAAGCAAGAGCATCGTTCAGCAATCATATATATATATATATATATACATTCAGTGTATCATTCCGACGCAAATCCCATCCCTGAAACACAAGGAAGAGACCCATATGTCCGTTTAAACATCACAAGCAATAATAATAGATGTGTGATTATGCATCGCAAGAAGAAACATCGATCCTAGGCGGTTCGGATGACCCGGTCATCGTCCGCGCAACAGGGGTAAAGTAGCCAAATTATCTACCGCTTCTCCACGAGCAAGAAATGCATCGCTGCATAGGCAATCACGATGAATGCTCCGGAGATGATGGCCAGTCCGATGACATCCGGCCAGAACGCCAGGGTATCAAACCCAAATGCGCTCAAGATGGAGGCTCCAGGAACTTCAATGTCTAGTCCATACTTGTGGTCAATCAACGTCAAGAAGGTCACTTCATTCACAATCAGTGCCTCGAAACCGTAGTGGAAGATGGACAGCTAGTGATATGTTAGCATTCTTAAAAACTTTCGGGGGTAAAATAGCCTGAAAACTCACAGTCTGAAGCCACAATGCGGACTTTGGAATCGCGTCATGGTTGAGCAAGAGACCCGCAAACAACAAGCTGAAGAGCATGACGAGACTGCCGATCAAGTTGGCCACGCCTCCGTCACGGAAGACAATACCGATGAACAGGCAAATGTTAGCCGCAGCCAAATTGAAGAGCACAAGCACCAGGATGAAGCGGAAGAATTCTCCCCAAGCAGGAATCAGTCCGGTCATGGGGTACACAATGATTCCCATGATGATCGGAGGTATCAATCTTAGGGGGACGACGTCGAAGACCACCTTGGCAGCAAAGTAGGTAATGGGATGATAGTAGCCATTGGCCCGCTCTCGGACGAACAGAAGCCTTTCGGTGGAGAAGACAGTCAGACTGGTAAGCGTGCTGAATCCGAACAGAGCCAAGATGAAGAAGAAAAGACCCAAGCGGTTCTGGAAGCCCTTGATGTCGTCCGTCAGCCCATAGAAGAGATATCCACATAGCACTGCCAGGAGAATCGAGATCGCGTAATGTGTAAGCATCAGCATCGGGTTCCGATACAAATTGCGCCATGTCCGCTGAGAGAGGATAACAAACTGTCGCAAAAGGCTGACTCTTGGGTAACTCTTTGCATGACCGGTAGCAGCTCCTGACATGATCTCCGCATTGGTAGAACCGTTCGCGACGTGAGCTTTCTGGACGGCCGCAACGATCTCATCATGAACCGAGCGAGCAACATCAGAGGAGGCGTAGTTGGCGACCAGGATGTCAAGATCGGTTGGGCCAGGGGCAGCAGGTGGCAAGTGATCAGGGTCATCCAGAACCTGGGGTGGAACATGGCCCTGTTGGCGGGAGAGACGAAGCCACTGCTGAGTGCTGTCAGATACTTCACCAGCGTCTTCTTCATCAGTCTTCGGTGTCGGCGGCGTCTCGTGGTCCTTTTTACGCGAGTATAGCTGTTTATCCTGTCGCTGCTTGAGAGAGATCCGTCGTTTACTCTTGGGGCGTCGACCGGACTCAACGCTGTCCTCGATGCTCGCGTTGGAGGCGCTCGCAACCGACTTCACCGCTCTCAAACTACTCGAGGCAGTCCGCGGGGGCTGCACGTCCAAGAAGGGCCTCTCATTTCCATTTTCATGTGACCGGGTAACGCTAGCATGCATGGTGAGATCCACAAGGTAGTCGGCAATATTGAAGCCCGGAGGGCAGGAGTAGCCTGAATTGTCGAAATACTGTTGACATGTTGAGAATGGGCCCGAATATACGGTCTTTCCTTGAGCCAGGAGAATGAGACGATCGAAGAGCGCCACAATGTTCGACCTTGGTTGGTGAATGGTGAAAATAACTGTGCGATTGTAGGTTTTGGCCAAAGTAACCAGGCATTCAACAACGTTGAAAGCGTTGAAAGCGTCCTATTTTAAAGCCATTAGCAAATGAACAACCAAAAAGTGCGGTCACACCAGATTTGGGAAACTCATACCAATCCACTGGTAGGTTCGTCCAAGAAGAGGCTGCCACGCAACGCTGGTCAGTAATTTGTCTGATGTCACAACTTTAGATTACTCTGTCGCATGATTGTCACACTCACATGCTCGGGCTGGTGACGAGTTCGCAGGCAATGCCGACTCGGCGTTTCTCTCCACCAGAAATGCCCCGGCCTCTGCCTTCCTCGGATCCAATCAACTGGTCTTTAATGTGGTGGATTCCAAGCTGCTTTTCCACTTCAAGTACACGCTGTTCTTTAGCGGCTCGGCTCATGTCCCGAGGGAGCCTCAGCAATGCGCTGGTTAGGATAGTTTCATGCACCGTTAGCGTTGGCAGCATAGTGTCCTCTTGGTCGACAAAGCCGACCATGCTCTTGAAGTCGTGATCGCTGAGCTTTTCTCCGTTGATGTAGAAGTCGCCCTGCACCGTACCCCGCTTGTTCTTGCGAGCCAGAATGTCCAGGAAGGTTGTCTTTCCTGCACCGGATGCTCCCATGATAGCTGTAATTTCGCCAGGATGCGCAGCGCCTTGGATGCCAGATAGGATTTCCTTTCCGTTAAGGTAGTAAGACACGTTATCCCAGTACAAGGCGGCGGGCTTGTGGTCTGCAAGAAGTCTGGCAGCCTCATCGTCCGAGTCATCGGATAGAGGAAGATAGATTCGTCCATGGTAGGATCTGCGGGAGAGGTACCACACACACAGAATGACGGCGACGACAAAGAGAGCGCAGCCCGCAATCACACCAGCAATCAGAGGGGTATTGATTTGCTTGATCGGGCGCACATATCCTGGGACATCTGTATGATACAAGCACTCACCAGCATCACAATTCAAAAAGATACTAGGGTCCCCGAAGACGCTCTTGATCAAGTCATCCATTGCCGGCTCCTGGAATTTGCTTCCGTCCTCCGGACTGCCACCTTCAGTGGTTAGGGTTCGGAAAGAGGCGGGGCCCTTGATCTCCTGCGCAAGAAACTCTCCGATATCAATTGAACCCTCCTCACCACAAAGCATGCGTCCTGGAATGCACTTGCAGTTGATATTTTTGCAGTTGTAGGTCGACTTATTCTGGTTGTAGCCTGTCTCCAGATTCCAGTCGCAGGTGTCCAAGGCGCAGTAGAAGGACTCCTTCTGGTCCACCCAAAACTGAAAGTTGCAGGTGTGGTCGTCGGCCTCACACGAAAACGTCACCTGGGGCTTTCTGCCCTGGAGCTGGTCCAAGATCTTGCGGTTGGTCACATCGCACGTCTGGTAATTCTCCTTGACCGTGACGCCTTGCTTGTAGCAGACGCCTCCTTCACCTTCCGGCATCATCGCATTGCAGGCATCGTTCGTCTCGCAAACGTTGCAATTAATACCGCTCCAGCCCTCTTTGCAGTCGCAGGACCCGCCCTTTCGCGGCGCTCGATTCACCCCATCAGCTAGAGAGCCACAGACCGGCTCCGAGCAGTCATCACCACCAAAACCAGGCGGACATACGCATTTGCCGTTGAATTTGTTGCAGGGCGCGAATTGGGCGCATTGAAAAGCATCGAGCTGACAGTTGAAGCACGGAGGACATTCGGGAGGTCGGTCATCGAGCGCGGAGAAGAGCGGGGGGAGTAGCGCAGACTGGGAGTAGTTGCTGCGGGCTGATGTAGTCGATGCGCTGAATGAGAGGAGAGCGGCTAAGGAGAGCCGTGCGGCAGATTTCAAACGCATGATGACTTATTTGTGCGCGGAGATCAATCAACAATGGTTTCCTTTCGCTCCGAGAGCGACTGAGTACCAGGCGGAGCTCCAACAGTTATCGCCGACCGCCGAGTATCAAGCAAGAAGAACTAGCATTTGGTGAGTCGGAAACAAAACGAGAACGACCAGGACAAGGTCGTTTTAATAAACCGGAGTCAATATTTGTATCAACGATGACTATAGAAGAGAGATGGAGAGGCGTTGAGATGGAGTAAGGACAGATGGGGAGGTTGGAGTGCAACCTGGAACACGCCAATCGGTCTGGTCCTGCCTGGTAACAGTACCTTAGTAACAGTGTCGGATGACGACAGGCGGTGCCTGGTAGCCTTGGCTCGGGCGGGTAAAAGGCGGAGAAGCGACGGAGGGGGGAAGAGGAACCAGTGCATGAATAGGTACACAGCTGTCTAGTTACTGTCATGAATTTACTCTCATGGATTTAGTTATTCTCTATGATTATATCTGTTCGTTTAAGAGAACTATCAATACTTCCTCAGATGGTTGCTCTTCTATCAGCTTCAACTCATGCGGAGACGGGTCCGTCCACGTGACCTGTACCTGGCTCAAAGTCAAAAGCAGCGATTGCATAGAAAAGAAGCCGAAGAAGTTAAACAGGATGCATACCTAGGTAGCTAAGATAGGTCATTTTCTAGATATTAGTGGCTGTACAAAATTAGATGTCACTCAGTATAAGCCGAGACCATGTCATCAGGCAAGGAAGTTCGATCTTCCCCACATTCTTCTGCTTGGATGGCAGCTGCCACTGAGTGAGTTCATGGAAAAATAACTAGTACCTATGATGAGGGATGCCAGTCGTTGCGAAGGAATAATTCTCAATCTAATAATCACTTAGGAGTCTGGTTTCTGGTGAGATTGTAGATAGAGGTCTGTGTACCTGTGCATTATTCTCCGAGATGGGGCGGAGCTGTTGAATATAGAGTTATGCACATGTGATTCTACATAAAGAAGGAAAAAGGAAAAAAAAGCCACTCCTCCATTCCAGGAACACATTTGGTTTTCGTTCCTGAATGAGAGAAAGCAAGAGGTCAAGCCTACTTAACTCTTAAGACATCTAGACAGGATCCACATCTGCTTTAAATGACATCGCTGATCATCATTATTCAGTGCTCACTAATGATTGCAGCATAGCATAACTCCGGACCTGGTGTGGTCGGATCCAGCCAAACCGCCAAACCGAGGCATCAACATGTTGCCTCCAGCTCGTGCACTTGGCATCAGCACATCCTCGTGCCTTCATTCTTATAGTTCCCCTCTTTTCTATTCTCATTAGCCATTAGACTGTTTCTTCTTCTATATGGTGATTGTCTTGTATTGTGTTTAGACTTGTCCGTTGTACTACCAGTTGTTCTATCCAGCCGTTCTTGCTCCCCCCGCCCTCACAATGCTACCCATTCCGATCCCTTCTCTTCCAGGTATGTCTTCATTTAAGCGATTGTCCTTTTGAAGTCTCAAGTCATCCCTAGAATTTAACATACTCTGCCATAAAAATAATACTGATTCTACGTCTTCAAGATGTCCCTCTCTCACTCTCCGGGCCAGCTATCGCCACGGCGCTGGCCTACCTGAACGCCAAGTACTCAATCTTCTATGACGTGACATTGATCAAGGCTCTGTTGAAGATCGCTGTAAAAAATAGCCTGGCACAGCGCCGCGATCGCCTCAACTTATTCTACGTCCTCGAGAGCCATGCTCTCTCCCCGGCAACAAAAGACCAAACGTTCATTGTCTACAATGGTCGTACCTGGTCCTTCCATGAAACATACGAGCTTGCTCTGCGTTATGGGAACTGGTTCAAGACAGTGCACAACGTCAAGCCCAAGGAGATCGTTGCCGTGGACTTTATGAATTCATCGACATTCATCTTCCTTCTGCTGGGTCTATGGAGCATCGGTGCCGTGCCAGCATTCATCAACTACAATCTAACCGGAAAACCCTTGACACATTCAGTCCGCACGTCGACTGCTAGGCTCCTGATAGTCGATGACGAAGTGCGCAACTGTTTCCCGCCGGAGCAGTTGGGGATTTTCGCTTCCGCCGACTTCCGCGAGGACAAGGGTGCTGTGGAGGTGGTCTTCTTCACGCCGGATGTGGAAGCTCAGGTCATGCAGGCCGAGGCTGTCCGTGGGGACGACAAAGCGCGCAGCGGCCCAGTCTTGCGTGATATGGCCATGTTGATCTACACAAGCGGCACTACTGGACTTCCCAAACCCGCCATTGTCAGTTGGAGGAAATGCTGGACGGGCAGCACTTTTGTGTCCACCTGGTTGGGCTTAAAGCCGGCGGACCGCTTCTTCACAGTACGTTGACCTGCCTTACACATATCATGTGTGACCAACGCTGACAAAACCAGTGCATGCCTCTCTATCACTCTTCCGCTACCGTCCTTGGTTTCTTGTCCTGTCTGATGAGTGCATCGACGTTTGTCATCGGCCATAAATTCTCCGCTAGGAGCTTCTGGAAAGAAGCCCGTGAGAATAACGCCACGATTGTCCAGTATGTGGGTGAAACGCTACGCTACCTCCTGGCCGTGCCGCCTCAGATCGACTCAGTCACGGGCGAAGACCTAGACAAGAAACATAACGTCCGGGTCATCTTCGGTAACGGCCTGCGACCCGACATCTGGAATCGGGTCAAGGAGCGGTTCAACGTTCCAACGATTGCCGAGTTCTACGCCGCAACCGAGGGCACCTCCGGATCATGGAACCTTTCCTCCAACGACTTTACTGCAGGGGCTATCGGTCGAAACGGCGCCCTGACCAAACTAATCTTGGGCGGCAGTCTCGCCGTCGTCGAGGTAGACCACGAGTCTCAGGAGCCCTGGCGCGACCCGAAAACGGGCCTCTGCCGCAAAGTTCCGTACGGCCAGCCCGGCGAGTTACTCTACGCAATCGACCCCAACGACCCTTCGGATAAGTTCCAGGGCTACTTCAAGAACTCCAAGGCCACGGAAGGTAAAATCATTCGCGACGTCCTCCGCAAGGGCGACGCATTTTTCCGCACCGGCGACATGGTTCGCTGGGATATGGAAGGACGGTGGTACTTCTCCGACCGGCTCGGCGACACCTTCCGCTGGAAGTCGGAGAACGTCTCCACGAGCGAGGTGGCCGAAGTCCTGGGCACGCATCCGGACGTGCACGAGGCCAATGTCTACGGCGTGGCATTGCCGAACCACGACGGCCGTGCTGGCTGCGCCGCCATCGTCTTCCAGCAGCAGTTGCAAGCCGCCAACCCGTCCGAACTCGCTGCGCCGTCCCAGAAAGTCCTCGACAGTCTCGCAGCTCACGTCCTGAAAAACCTGCCCCGCTTTGCGGCTCCCTTGTTCCTCCGCGTCACGCCGGAGATGCAGGCGACAGGCAACAACAAGCAGCAGAAACACGTCCTGCGCACCGAAGGCGTGGACCCTGCGCTCGTCAGCGGTAAGGATAAGCTGTACTGGCTGCAGGGGAACACCTATGTTCCATTCGAGCAGAAGGACTGGAACCGGTTGCATTCCGGACAAGTCAAGCTGTGATTCATTATACTTCCATGCACCCCTACGTAGTAGCCGTTACTTCCTGCCTTGATACCCTGCGCGACCCTCCTCACGCCCTCGAAATCGCCCTCGATGTGTTTATCGACTACGATATTGTTATAGTTTATGATGAGCGTTTATGTAGTCAATTCACTTATGTCTAGTACACTTCAATGATGAGAAGAGTATAGATCACCGTCCCAGGAATCGTAGCTCAATCATCCGAAGAAGAGGGTACACGCTAACAGCGAATATGAACGCTAGCCACATCCCCAGATCGCAGCCGTCGGGAAGAGTCTGAGCAATAGGGCCCCTGAAGAACGATTGATCCTGTGAAAACATCAGTAAAAATCCCCATAGGGCCAAGGAACAGAAGACGGAACGTACCATCCCTAGAAAGGCCCCAAGACAACCCGCCACCAAGCTTCCACCCGCTGCCCAGCCACTGGGTAACCTGGTCGCATCATCCCACGCCTCCCAGTCGTATGCCCCCTTATCGCGGTACGCTCGCAGAACAATCTCCTCCAGGACGACCCCGAACCACGCGACGATCCAGTAGCTCATGAGCGGGAGGAAATCCTCCATGATGTCGCGCAGGTAGGCGCGCGCCACGACGGCACAGACGGTATACGCGACCACCTCGAATGTTGTCAGGAGGGGCTGGGGAATGCGTGGGCCCCACTTGCCCAGCATTTGGAGGTTCAGGCCGGCCGAGTACGTGGCGGGAATATTGTTCGAGACGGCGGTGAGGACGAGGATGGCGGCGCAGAGGCTGCCGAAGCCGCAAAGGCCCGAGAAGGAGAGCGCGAGGAGGCCACCGGGGGAATCGGCGAAGACGGCCATCCAGGCGGGATTGGAGTAGAGGGCTGTGGCTAAGCCGATGCCCAGGATGGTGGTGAGGATCATGGCGAGGCCCATTCCTGCTGCGGCGGAGAGGAACATGCGGAGGGGTCGGGTGCTGGCGGGGAAGTAGACGAAGTAGTCTGCGCTCGAGGGGGTCCAGGTGATGGCGGAGGCGAAGCAGAGGGAGAAGAAGGAGAGGCGGTGCGCGGATGTGTCCTGGGGGAGGTCGGGGGAGAGACGATGCGTGGAATCGAATGCTGGGCCTGCACAGCCGATCATGATGCAGAGCACGGAGAGCGAGAGGACCCAGGCGTAACGGGACCAGAGATGGAAAAGGTTCATGCCGAAGGTAGCGATGCACCAGGTCAGGACGGCGACGACGACAATGCCGACGGTGACGGGCGTCCGGCCATTGGAAATAGTGAAGATGATCTGGCCACCCAAAATGCAATTGACCATGCCGTAGCCCAACATCGTCAGAATGTTGAGAAAGCAGCAAATCTTGCTTGGGTAGTAACCGAGAAAGTATCGCGTTACCACCAATGTGCGATGGCCGCTGCGTGGTCCCCACGTACTCATGTAGGCCACCGCGATACTTCCCAGTATACTCCCAAAGACACCACAGACGGATGCAGTGCCTAGGTCTAGGCCGTAGTATGAAGGCCCATACAGGCCCACGATGATGTTGTTGGCCGTGAGGGACGAGTTCAGCCAGAGCAGGAAGATTCGCGTGTAATCATCTGGACCAGCAGGTTGACGCGAATCAATTGCGACTCTTTGTATACCTTGAGTCTCTACCCCTGCCAGTCGACAGAGCCTTAGGGTCCATCTCTGAAAGGAGGAGGTAGACTTGACGGCATCCGGAATCTCGACGATCTCCGTCTTGATATCGAGTTTTGCATGGACATAGCCCTGCTCGAGGTCCGTCATTGGGAAGCTGGTCACGGAGAGAAAGCGAGTTTATGGTAAGTGGAATATAGTCATTGGGACGGGTATACTACCAGGTTAAGGGATGCCAGCAGTGTCGTTGACCAATATATAGGTAATGCCTGCGCGAGAAGGGGAATTGCATCATGGCCCTCAAACTGTTGCAGTGCAGACTCGCAGATAGCAATTGTGACACTGCATTTATTTCATTGATGCCTAAAATGGAGTTGCCGAACAGCTTTATCAGACGCTCATGTCCGAATGTCCTAAGAAAAGACAAGAATGAAGGCTTAAAGGGCCTAGATTGCGGCCTCCTGTGACCCCTTGAATAGGTTACACAAATCGGCTGCAGAGAGCAGGGGAATGACAGGATAAGACGTAAATGATAACGACGCCATTCAGCCGCCTGCACAGAAGCAAGGGAGACGCAATTATCCAGAGACTGCTCAGTTCCTTGCTTCTTCTAATAGTACAGATCCCGGTTCTTTGCACACTTGCCACTTGGGGTGTTCGGATGATACACGCAGGGATGAACCCGAGATTGCATTCTTGGGTCACAAGAATCGAACTTCGATCATCTTCTGTTCATTCTAGTCAGTATGACATAGAAAGGTGACATTCACCATATCATGAAGCTGCGTTAAGGAATGTCATGATGGTACTCCGATAAACAGTCGAGTGCCGACTTCCGGCTCCTCACTCGATACTTGTTGTCCAGATCAGGCGTTTGATTGCATAAAATCTTTCCGCCACATCTAGACTCTATGTCGAGTAATGCCACGCATACTGCAAAAGCAACACGATGTCGAGATTCGAGGCCCTCGACCCGATTTGTGGTAGGCAGGTGACTGCCAAACTCCGAAGTTGCAACGGCGCGTCGCTGGAGCAAATAGAGAGAGAATCGGACTGTGAAGCAGACCATGGCCTAGACCTCCAAGATAAATGGGAAGGTTAAGAGCTTTTAAGTAGGCGCCCCGCCCATTGTATTCGTATATGCCATTCCGCGTTACGCGTCGCATACTCCCAACCCAGTAACTGATCATCATGATCACCTCAGGGTCGCTCTCAATGGAAGGATCTGACTAGGAAATTAAGTTCCTGCATCCAATCCGAATCAAGTCTATGAGACCTGCCAGTTATTGGTCCCATACTGCTGGGAGATTTCCATTGGGTGGGAGGAAGCCAGTTGGTGATGTATCTTGGGATCGAGAAGCAATGGTCGTGCTGTCTCGGAAAGTGGCCAACCGTCACTTCCGAGAGCGAGACTTGATCTCGGGGAAGCACCCGAGGTCCGCCTTCTTCTCCCCACATTTGGAGACGGCTTCTCGGCTATATGCTCGCCGCTTATATTTATGTTGCTTCTTTGCCAATGACCTCACGAACCGGGCATATCCTTTTCATACCCCTGTAGAGACAGCTATAGTGCAGAAATGTCAGTAAGGTCTCGTTTGGCCTGCCAGTCTGGCCGTTTCGTCTCAAAAGGATATACTCCCTCTGCGCGCCAATTCTCAACGCATGGTCAGCGGTGCTCGCCATCAGATTCTGCCTCATCCATTGCAGCTTCATTTCTTTCTCGGTTTAATTCTTTGGGTCCTCAGACTCGCACTCAGGTCATTGATTCCAACCAGCTCCAACTTTTATCCCTCACCCTCAACCGGCCGACTCTATACCCCAACTCACCAGTTTTCACCAATGCATCGGCGTCATTGCAGCAAGGTACTCCCCTGCCTGCTGGATACCATTTGGTTTATTTCACTCCAGCGTTCTTGGAGAGCGAATTAGGAGCCGATGGCACCGATGTCTCGTACAACCCCGAGACACCGTTTACTCGGCGTATGTGGGCTGGCGGCGAAGTACAATGGCCACGCGGTCCAGACGGAATGCCTAATCCGTTGAGGGTAGGCCAAGAGATCCAGGAAACGACGAGGGTCCTGAGTGCGGAACCTAAAACTGTCCGCAGAACTGGGGAGGAGATGATTGTCGTAGGGGTGGAGAAGGAGTTTCGAAATGAGCATGGCGTGGCTGTGTTGGACAGAAGGTGAGGATGAATCCAGGACGCAGGGAACGGGAACCATACCTGGAGGACCACTAACGGTACCAGGAATTGGGTCTTTCGCAAAGCCCTCGCACCGTCATCATCATCAGTGTCAACGAATCTGCTGGACCCGATCACACCGTCTGGGCCGGCCTTCTCGAAGACTTCGACAACAGGCAGCGTCCACACACGGACAATGAAGCAAACGGCTGTCACTCTCTTCCGGTTTTCAGCGTTGACGTTCAACCCACATAAAATTCATTATTCACTTCCTTGGGCTCGCGACGTAGAGGGCCACAGGGATATTGTTGTCCATGGCCCGCTGAACCTCATCAACATTCTGGATCTGTGGCGCGACACAAGGGCTTCAACGCTCGCCAGCGAATCCCCCGAGCTCATACTTCCCCAGAGTATCTCCTATCGGGCGACGAGTCCTTTGTATGCTGAAGAGGAATATCGGATTGTGCTTGAGGATGAGGATAGTATTGCCAAGGTGCAAGTCATCGGTCCCGATGGAATGACAGTGGCTATGAAGGCGGAGATCAAGAGCTAGCACAGTAATCGTATCAATTGCCCTGTGAATAGTCGCGATACAGAGGCTGGTACTGGCCAAGGGTCGCTTATATTGCAGTAAGTGGCACTAGAGGTAACTTGACCCAGGAAGGGCTGAGCTTTGGCGCCAGCTTAAGCAGATGGAGGGCCATGTCCCTGAGTACCTCTCGAGGTCTTATAGGTTAGCTCACTGAGCACTCCAGGCATCCTACTGATTGGTGCTTATGAAATATCTGGCACTAGGTCACTTTGAGGGATCGTTACAGTATAGACTCTCGGTGAAAGTGCATTGAAGATGTGGAATGAATCTGCTACTTTCAAGCCTCTTAGCAAACTTCGATCCAAAAACTGCCAAAATGTATATTGCCTGCTTCATGGCACTATACTGACATTATTGATAGCAGTCAAAGAACCTCCGGTGCCCGTCCAAGAGGAGCGCCATATCTGGACTATCGCAACCAAGGTTGAACATTTCAAATCCTTGAAAAGGTTGATAGTTCGTCTCATTTCAGGAACAGAATGGTTCGAATTGTTGGATCTTGGGTATACTTCTGTCCCCGCTTCACGATAAACGCACTTGAAGCCAACCAGGTCGTTGCTCCTAGGAGTTTTGGCGTCTTTCAGGAGTTTGTCGAGTAGCATATAATGTGTAGTAGTATTGACAGCGTTAGAGAATCGATATAAGTGGATAGCGCTGGTCTAGATAATCCATGAAGCCTGAGAATAGTCTCTTTCAGTGAGAGGTCTCCTTGGATTCGATATCCAAAATATATTAAAGGGTGACGAATGAGAATGAGCTCCTCTCAAAATTCACAATGAGCGCGAGCAATGACCGAGCGCGAGGAGATGTTTGACGAAGGAAATCGGGCCGAAGAAGGGACAAAGAAAGCTTAAACGAGAAAGAGAGCAATGATACCGTGGCAGAAATAAAGAAAGTTCCTGGGACTGAAATGGAAGTCGGTCGAGGCAAATAAGAGCACGATCAGCTAACACCAGCCATCTCTTTGTCGCTGTTCTTCGATTTGACCTCTTTGTTCGTTCCTCCATCCTTTTCCCATGGAACAGCCAAAAGTGCATCCGCAAAACCACCGCTTGACTATGTTGATGACAGAGGTGTAACTATGGAACCTGAGATAACAATTCTCACTGGCTTTGTTGACGTTTACCAGTCAGTTGACGCCTTGACATTGTTTCTCGCTATGGCCTATCGGGAGATCAGCCCTCGACCAGGGATCATCCTTTCTGAGTCCGTCAGAATCATTCATATGCGCTCTTTCAGCATGAGGCACACAAGGGTCCAGGTTGGTTGAACTTTGTCAATAAGAAACTTACAGATTAGCGAAGGCTGGCTTTGGCTGCTCAAGGTAGTATTGAAGTTGACCATCTGTACGAGGGAAAGATGTTGTTTTCAACTCCTCACGCACTGTATACAATACATATATCCTAGGTACAACATTATATCACACGCCGATCACACACTTGATCGTCGCACCACTAAAGAATATCCATGAATGAGTCGCGGAAATTTCGACTGTCCTCATGGTAGAGACAGGACAAGGCGGGCCACCCCCAGATGGAGATAGTGACCGGGGGCCCTTGCTGTTGGGTGTCTTGTGGGCGCAGGCAGGGATAGCGACAGTCATTGTATTCCTTAGACTATATGCTCGCTTCATGATACACACCACCGGCTGGGATGATTGGCTGATGTTTCTGACGCTGGTACAGAACCACCGCACTAGATCACATTGCACGACGAGAGCTAATAGGGGCAATAGGCGATATTCATCGCGTCAATTTTCATTGCTACCCTCCAAGATAGTGTCGGGGGCTACCGACATGTGTACTATCTGGACGAGGATGCCGTCGTGCGAGCACTGGAGTTGAATTTCATCCTGCGCGGTGTTCACATTATAGGGTACGCTACAGGCAAAGCTTCCATCGGCGCATTCATTCTGCGTTTGATCGGACCGCAGAACATGTGGCAGAAATGGGTAGTCTGGGTCCTCATTATATTCACGCCGCTCGTCAATGTGTTGAATTGTATATTCAACTTTGTCCAGTGCAACCCCGTGCAGGGCAACTGGGACCCAAGGGTTTCAGCCAAGTGCTGGGAAAAAAGAGCGCAGCTCAAGTTCGCTTATTTCATGTGCAGTACGGTCACGGATAAGCCATTTTGCAAGACGAGAGTGGTGCGCTAATTTGAAGCATAGGCGAGAATATCGCGGCAGACGCGGTTCTGGCCATCATACCGGCCACATTTCTGTTCAGTATGAACCTCAGCCTCAAAAAGAGAATAAACTTGACGATCCTCTTGGGACTCGGCTCAATGTGAGAATTGTATCTTGATTAGTTGCGTTCGTTTCAGATAGACGCTGATTGGTATGCAACATAGGGCTACAATATGTGGCATTGTCAAGACCATCAAGCTGAACTCCATCCGCGATGCCCCAGACTTCACATGTGCGAAGTACCCGTCTCTTAACTAATACCTCGCAGCGCTAACATCAGAGTAACAGGGGGCTTATATGCCGTCACTGTCTGGGCCTTGTCTGAAATTTTTGTTATCATCACCTGTGGCAGCGTGCCGGCCTTGAAACCGCTCTGGGATCGGTACATCGTAAGACGATTCAGCGAGAATAATTCCGAATGTCACGGAAATTGGTTCGAAAACTACCGATTGCGACATGTCTATCAAGCGAGACTTCAATCTGGCTCAACTCAAGCCAGGCACGCGCCAAAGAGCGAGAGCACGAGTAGGTCATTATGGTCCGATCCGGGAGTTCAGACCACAACATCAACGACAAAGCAATTCAACATCAATACTGCAGGAGAAAGAGAGATTGAGATTGAGACTATACAAGAGCCCCAGAGTGCTGTATAGTCTTCTAAGAGGTAAAAAGGGCAGGCAGTGCTGGTGAAGTGTTCCACCGTGGCATTATGTCCCATGTTGACTTACAGTTGACTGGCGAGCGTCTCTTTTGTATTTTATCGAGTGTAGCTTTCAAAATATGCCACCATCTAATATGATAAATATACCAACAACCAAACCAACCAAACCGACTCAGATAACTAACGGCCATTCCCCGGAATTAGTCAACAAGAGCTAGAAGGAGCGAGTCTAAGAATTGACGCAGTACTCCCCCAGCAGCCCAACAACTATACTCGCACCCACAAGGTGAGACCCAGGGCAAAACCACCACGCGCAGCTCGCCGAGTGTCGCAGATCAACAAACCATAGCAAAGCAGCCAAAGAGATTGCTGTTCCAACGCAGCTGCCTGCAAAGTAGATTGCCGAGAAATTGCATGCCACACCCGCAGCGAGCAGCAGCATCACCTGTGTCGCCGCGAGAACAGACAATGCCTGCTTCGTGCGGTCACCAAGGCGAACAGCTAACGACCGTACGCCCACATTGGCATCGTCTCTGGCATCCTGGTGTGCGTAGATAGTGTCGAAAATGACCGTCCACAGGATACTTGCTATGTAGAAACACAGGGCAGCAACTAGGCGCAGGTCATCGGTCTCAGTTCCAAGACGATATAAGCCCGACAGTGGAAGAGGGTCGGCATCTAGAGCCGCACCGCAAAGGAAGATAGGCATCCCGAATGCAATCCCCAATATGACCTGTGGGAAATCCGTGACTCGCTTCCCTAGAGGATACACCAGCAGGATAGCTGTCATGAGTGCAGCATGACACATGCACCCCCGGGGCAAAGGAAGGAGCATCGCTGTCCCCAGGGCTATCTGAGCGAGCGTGAAGAGATGGGCTTGGACCGTGGAGACCGCGCCCCGTGGAATGGGACGATTTCGGGTTCTAGACACCTTGCGGTCGAAGCTCTGGTCCAGAGTGTCGTTCCAGGAACAGACTGCTCCGCGCAGTACAATGACCCAGACAGCAAAGAAGAGGAACAGAGAGATGAGGATCAGTGGTGACGGAATCGGAGAAGACATGCTGGCTGCCAAGGCGAGGCCGATGGCGAAGTGCCAGTAAAAGGCCCAGTAGCCCGCAGGACGATCTAGTCGCATGAGTTCGGCATATGGAATCCAGCTCTGTGGCATTATAGCAAAAAGCCCAGTTTTGGGTATGGTGTATTTTGAGGATGGCAAAAAGTGGCATTCGGGGGTTGTGTTGGCTAGGACCAGGTTAGGACCCATCACTTCTTGAATGCTGGTATTTGCTTTCATTGTAGGGTGCATCGAATGCGTGGCTGCGATCTGAATTTGATGATTGTCTTCTCTCGAGAGTCAAAGTCGATGAGATGAATGCAACAGAAGTATCTCGTTCTTCTGGGCTTCTTATAGCTATAAGTCTACCTACCTGATGGCCTGTCCCGGCGACCTGGTGCTCGGATTGTGTATTGAAAGCGTCTCCGCCAGCCCCAGGCCACTATTAACCCAAAAAGGCATCTGTTTCGGCAGTCTGCGAGCTTGTACTTCTGTCCGTGCAGAAGGAAGGGTTATGTTCCTGGTCAAGGTCTCTGTTCCGAGACATACTATCTGCGCTTGCCGTTGAAACGCCAGATTCGGCAGTCTCAATTCGACGAGAGTTCCCTTTGTGTGTTTCACTTTGCCTGGTCTGTGTGCATGTTGACGGCATCTTTGAGCCTGCAAGTGTTCGAGGAAGGGAGAATTCATCCCGCACATCTCAGACAAGAGCACCGTATATAGATGAGACGCCACTCAGACGTCTGTCTGCTGACGAACAGCTTGAGCGCCACGCACGGGATTCCATTACTGGACTCGAATTCTCAGATACCTTAACGCCTCGTAAGACAGACCTTGTAGCATCGCTTTCAAGTCCTGGGCCATGCGTTTCCAAGTCGAGCTCTTGGGAGATACACGTTTGTTGCTTGCCAGTCTTTAGTGAGAATGACATCTGGCTGCAGATGCAGATGAAGAACGCTAACAAAGCTATCAGAGTATCTCACGAACAGTTTGAAGATCTGATTGAGGATTTCGAAAACTGCAGTTTCGGATGACTGATCAGGCTATGTAGCAATCTCCCACCCACCCAATTTCAGGGGCTCGTATGCACCTCGGGCATTGCATTTGAGTTTGAGTCCCGTCATGATGTGCGGTATCGAAGCGAGAAATCCAGTTCTTCTCTTTAGAAAGCAAGCCTGTGTTGGAATAGAAATGTTTGATGCTCGGGAGATCAACGGTACCCAACGGGTCAAGCTGCCGGATATATTGGTCTGTCTTAGACAACTCAAAGACAGGGGAAGCGGGACCAGATCCAAACTCTGAAGACTGCTTTAGCTGTCAAGCGGGCTTACGGTAGTGGTAGACATGTAGGAAACGTTCACTGGAGAAAAGTGCTGACAGTTGGCAAACGAGATGATGTTGAAATTAGTGCTTTGGTCAATGTTCCCAGTTGGCGCGGAGATAAGTCCGGAGACCGGAAGCCACACCACCATCTTCCCAATCCCTCGTGTTCAACCAGCCAACATGTATTCCATCTCCGGTCAATGACAGAATCTTTTTTTCATCACATATCTATATTTGACTGAGTCCCTCATCCAGGATGAACGACTTGACGAAAGAACCCCACGTTCAGGACGTTCCGAATCCAAGCATGGTGACCAAGGAAAAGAAGAGGAGCCGAGTTCAACTCTCTTGCACTGCCTGTAGAAGTCGAAAGTACGTCTTTTGCTCTACGGTCATAAGATTTTGTGCTAATGCATGTCTAGGCTCAAATGTTGTCGGACATATCCATGCACCAACTGCAAGAAAAGAGGGGAGGCCGCATCCTGCACCTTCGTGGGCCGTGGCCCTCGAGCAAGGTCATCGCAGGGTCGAACAAGCCCGGCCCTTGTGCAAGATCGTCTTCAACATCTTGAAAACCTGATCTTGTCGTTTACTCAGAAGAAGTCATCGGAACAGAGTCAAGCCCCTAGTGCATCAGAGCAGCAGAATACTCCGTCTAGAACAGCAGGGAGTGTTGTTCCAGCGGTGCTGGAGAATCCCCCTTCAAGCATGGAACCGGAACCGAGATGCTCTGCGCCTGAAAGCACTGGTAGACTTCTGGAAAATGAAGCAGGGTCGAGCTATTTCGATGGCGCTCACTGGCGTGCTATACTCGAGGAGGTAAGGCAACCTGCCTCCATTGCATGTCCGCGTATTAACGAACACGCTGCAAGGTGAACGAGGTTAAGGGATACCTTCAACAAGAGACGGACGAAGAATCTGAGGATGAATTCATGGATGAAGATTTTTTTGACTCTTCTTCGCCGGCTCTCTTACTCGGCTTGAACAAGCCGGCAAGCAAGGAGGAACTGCTCGCCGATATTCCTCCACGGCCAGTAGCAGATAGACTTGTCTCACAGTTTCTCCATTGTAAAGAGCCACTATTAGGTACGTATCCGCGATTGTACGAAACTCTACGCAGGTACTGACATTAGAAGTCGTTCTCCATTTCCCAACATTCCAGAAGGAGGTAAGTTAATCAAAGATGAACTGCTCACAGATGACTGACAGAATATAGTATAACCAATTCTGGTTAGACCCGCAAGGAGTGTCTCTTCAGTGGCTCGGTCTGCTATATGCTGTTTTCACACTGGCAATTTCAGTTTTGAATACGATAGAGGAACCAGTGCCCCAGTCACTGGGAGATCACCAGGTCGCCACGACCCGGTTCCGCAAACGTACTGTACAATGTTTGGTCCAAGCGAACTATATAACTCCTGGCAGATACAAAGTTGAGGCACTTTTTCTGTATACAATGGGAGAGTTCCTCACAAGTTGTGATGCCCAAGCTGGCGTCTCGTTCATGCTCGGGCTCACTATAAGGCTTGCCATGCGGATGGGGTACCATCGGGATCCCCGAAATTTCCCCAAGATGTCGGCGTTCGAAGGGGAAATGAGACGGCGTCTATGGGCTGTTGTGAGTCAACTCGACACCCTGATTTCTTTCCAAGTCGGACTACCTCGGACAATCCAGGCCTGGCAACACGATGTGGAGCTACCGCGGAACTTGTTTGATGAAGATTACGATGAGAATACGAAAGAACTCCCACATTCTCGGCCAGAAACCGAGCTCACTCCGCTGTGCTATACCATAGCCAAGGGAAGAATCATGTCTGTTTTTGGACGAATATCAGATCTTGCATACTCACGGGAACCGGTGACATACGAGCAAACGCTCCAAATTGATCGGCACCTTGAGGAAGTGCACGATCAGATTCCGTCGATCTTACGAATTAGGCCCATGGAGCAGTCAATCACCGACCCATCTGACCTAATCCTCAAGCGTGTCACCCTGGAGATTTTGTATCAGAAGTGCCGCTGCGTTTTACACCGGAGGTACCTGGCGGAATTCCACGATGATATGCGATACGCATATTCTCGCTGGGTCTGTATGACCGCAGCGAAACAGATCCTTCGACACCAAGCAGTTCTTCACCACGAAACTCAGCCTGGAGGCCAGCTGTACCGCGAAAAGCGATTCCCGAATTCTATACAAAACACAGACTATCTGCTAGCAGCCATGATTATCTGCCTCGAACTCTCCCCTGGCCATCCCAGGGAGCCAGGAACGGACAGTCAATGCAACGATGTGACAGTGATTATCAAAGGCCGTGAAGACCTTCTATCAACCCTGGAGACAACCCATCAGATCTTCAAGGACATGCGCCGGCGATCGGCGGATGCACAAAAAGCATATGCTGCGATGTCAATCATGCTTCGTTGTGTCAAGAAAAGCATGCAACATGCAGTAGATTCCACCGGTTCAAGTGGCCTAGAATTCAATACAGCCAGTGATGGTAAGATGACCGGACTATGGCTTGTGCAAGATACTAAATCGTCGGACTGTAGTTTCCCCACCCCCTTATGACGGATGGCAGAATCAGCAAGGTCCCTCGTCCGTGCTTGCCAACGACCAGCTCAATGCAATGCAATCGCCATTTACCTCGCTAGATGTGATTGAAGAGATGCTTGACGCGCCGACCAACCTTGACTGGGTAAGAACACTGAGGCCGTTTGTTCCAGGTTTGCTAACCTTCCGCAGGGTCTTTGGGACCAGCAAATCCGAGGCTTTGAAGGTGAAGACGCGCGCACTCTTTGGTATCCTGGCTTTGAGTCATAAGAGCCGCCTGTTGACCTCGGTAGAGACATTGACGATAGCTACTGGTGATTGAATGGTTATATAAATTTTCCAGTTCTAGTCCTGACTGCTTACATGCGTTAACTGGCGCATTTGCGGGTTGGGTGCACCTGTATATAGTGTAGTGCCTTATGTATATACCTCGAGATACGACAATGGTACAGAATTATATACGATTAATTTAATCTGATATGATATTCACCAATAATCAACGATACTTGAAAATCTTTAGTAACAAAACCCTCGTAATTTATGTGCTCAATGGCATGACGTCGCTGTCGCTATACAAGTAAACCTACGCCGTTCGGCACGTCCCGCGTGGATCCTGCAGCAAAGAAAAAAGTACGGAATTGTCGGAGCAGTCAATTGCCCTATCTCACACCTGCAGAGGCATACCACATCTACTCGAGTCCTCCAACACAAAATGAAACCATCCTTACCACTGCGACGCATTTGTCGCCGGACAAACATCACAATCCGCCCGCCAACTTCGCCAGCACTCGTTGCACGCATTTCGCATCAGCAACGAATACCGGCTGCAAGCCCTCGCTCAACATCACTCACAACCACACCTCGCCGACACTTCAACCTCTCGTCGCTTTCCTCCCTCTTTCCCCCAAGCAACGGCAACGGCAATGACAACAACAAAAGCCGCGTTTTAACCGCCACCCGGACCCTCCCCTACCACCCCAGCGCGCTCTTCAAAGTCATCTCCTCCGTCGAATCCTACTCGCAATTCCTCCCCTTCCTCACGGCCTCAACCGTCACCCATCGCGATCCGGAAACGGGGTACCCGACGCGCGCCTTCCTGACAGTTGGCTACGGGCCTCTCAGCGAAACCTTCACGTCGCGCGTGGACTGCAATCGGGACAAGTGGACTGTCGAGGCGCGCAGCGGGGCCAAGTTCGGGGTGGACTCGAAGGATGGGCAGGAAGGGGGGATCTTTCCCGGCGCGAACGAGGGGATTTTTGAGTATCTGAGTACGAAGTGGGAGTTGGTGCCGGTCCCCGGTCGAAGTGTGCAGACGCGGGTGCAGTTGGAGATTCAGTTTGAGTTTCGGAATCAGTTCCATGCGGCGATGATGAGCGCTGTTGAGGGGCAGATGGCGAGTGTTATGATTGAGGCATTTGAGAAGAGGATTAGGGAGGTGGAGGGGAGGTAATTATCATAGATTCGGGCTATACGGCTTGGATGGGTTATATAGAACTATACATGAGCTGAGGGCACATGGATTGTATAGTATAGAGGATCAGTCGCATTCTTTCCATTTTGTATCTCTATCTCGAGACGAATCGCTGTACATTTAGACAACATATGAGAAAAGAAAACCCTTGAACAAAGCCTGGCCAATCCTGTCAAAAGCTAGTATAGTATAGTACAATTCAATTATCGAAACATGCATCCGGTACGTGTTTTTCATAGCATGCTTAGGCTGCGGTTCCGGTTGGCCGCATGACGGCCTCCCTTCAGGGAGCTGACCGCGTTGTAGTTATCAAACACAGTCTCCCAGTTGATCCGGTCCCACCACCGCTCCAGGTACTCGGCCTTGCCGCCGATTCCGTAGTCCATCATCCAGACGTGCTCCCAGGTGTTGACGCACAGAATGGGCTGCACGTCTACGGCGCCGGGAGCCATGTTCTTCTGGTTCAGGGAGTGGGCACCCATTGAGCCGGCGTACATGTTGCCAAGTGGCGCATCGGGGCTGTGGGTGGCCATATCGACCGGTTGGCGCCGGGAGTGAGCAGCAGGGTAGGGCGAGCCTGCGTTGTAGGTGCAGAAAATGTGCATCAATCCTTCCCGCTCAAGGTTCTTAGCCAGCCATACGAAACCGGGCCCAAACATGGCGTTGGCGGTGGCAAGGAAGTCGAGTTTCAACGATTCGACGGAGGAGCAGGTGTCGATAATGTCCTTGGCGAACTTGTCGGGAATCTGAGTGGGGGTGGGTGACTATTGCACAAACAAATTAGACGTGGCCGATCAGATGGCGATCCTCCTCCTTGCAATGTACTCACCAAGCAGTTAAAGAAGAAGTGGTTGTTGTGAGCCATCGAGGCGTAGTTGAAAACGGAGGCCATCTCCGGACGCCGGGAGTACTTGACCAGCAGTTCTCCGGGTTTCGCATCAGCGTCGACGGTGTCTATCGATCAAGCATCAGATATTGACCCCATGTTATACCCAATTCCAGATTTATAGCGCTAAGTCAAGCTGAAGATGAGATATTGCGGAAGGTCTTCTCACCCTGTGTCAAGAGATTCAGTTTATCGATGAGGAGAGTCTGATATTGCGTCCAAGCAAAGTCGAATGCCTCTGGCGACAATAACTCCGGAATACCATTGTTCTTGAAGTACGCATCGTGCGTCAACTGGGGGACTCTGTGCAACTGTCGTGTCTGGAAGCGTGGGAGGGCGGAGATGGGTTTCTATCAGAAAGGATCAGTTCTGTACTGTAAGCCAAGGGCTGCCGGGAAGCGGGAAAGCTTACTTGAGAAAGAGCGGACAGTGCACGCAGAGGAGTCTGCGGCCGGAGGAGTCGGTTCAACATGATGAGGGTGTGGAATTGAGGGATCTGAACATCAAATGGAGAGCAGCTTCACGGCCGCAGAATTTCCATCGCGGATGCGAAATTGCTGTATTGAGACTAGCGTCGCTGAGGTAAGTTAATTTTCAGCCGGCCAATCAGCGGCCGGAGATTTACTTCCTCCGTCTGTTAACCGCCCATCGACGATCTGTTGCATCTTCTCTCAGTCAATACTCTACGCGCCCTCATCTCAGGCCCATGTTGCGTTGTCAAATGGGATGCTTTCAACTGGACTGCACGACTAATAGCTGCTATCCTTTTGAGCACCTGGATCGTTCCGTTAATATGCGACCTACCATGGGCCCCATCTGCCGTCTCTATTTTGAGATGACGGCGCTTGTAGCTGCCATGGCCCTGGATGTTCCTTAAATGATGGCCTGACGCCTATTTTGGGCATTGAATCAAACTACTGTCTCTCACTCTAGTCACGATCTCTTTGTTGTTATTTTTTATGTGTTCTGCATATTGTCCTTTGTCTTTGTCTACGGTCCTTTCAGCTTCCGAGTCTGGCTCTCTCGCGATTAGGTTCCTTTGTTGTTGGGAACATCCATTTCTAATCGACTAATCTCTTCTTGCACTCATCTTTCTGCGATTAATAGTACATACTGCAAACCTGTTTCCTGAAGAACCCTTGGTATTGCCAAATGGCGAGGTCAAGTTTCACTGCGTTCTTGGTGGCCTTCACCACCGTTTACATCTCACCGAGCTATGCCTTCAACAGCCTGTTGAACCGAGCCTCAGACTCCTGTCCAGCATCGTACGAGCAGTGTAACAACTCCAATCTGCCATCCTCTTTTTGCTGTCCGTCCACATCGACCTGCGTGAGTCTGGATAACGGAAGTTCCGCCATCTGCTGCCCCAGCGGGCAAAGTTGCGCCTTCATTGAGCCGATCACTTGTGATGTGTCACAGCAGAATGCCACCCTTCACCCAAAAGCTGTGGTCAAGACAATACGGCTTGGTGAAACTCTGCCAAAGTGCGGGGATTCGTGCTGTCCTTTCGGATACAGCTGCCAAAGCAATAGCATTTGCGCCATGAGCACGTCGACTTCGACAGCCACGAGCTCAGTATCCTCACTTACCACAACAACCAACCCTCCTTCTGCTTCTACAGCAGCCTCTACAGAATCTACAACATCTACAACATCTACAGCACCGACAACTGCAACTGCTTCCTCGAAAGTCACAGACACCGCCTCCTCGACAAATGGTGTCCAGCCGACCATCATAACGGCATCTGATCCAGCAGATCCATCGGCCTCCAGCGCTGCTTCTAGCTGCCATGGAGCTACAGCCGCTATGGCGAGCGCATGTCCTTCCTTCCCAACGAAAGCGATCATTGCCGGCTTCTTCCCTGGCGCCGCCTTCGGAGCCGTCCTCGCACTGCTGGCAATGTTCCTCATGAGGCCACGAAAAGATAACCTACCCCCATCTGTGAAGATTGCACAGCACACCCAGAGAACACCGAGCGGAACACTCATTGGAATCTCCGACCCCATCCCCTCGGAAGAGAACGCCTACCGCACTGACTTCCTTCTACGGAGATCCCTGAAACGCAACTCCGAAGGCGCACGCTCGATGCTCCAACGCACAGGAACTCGCGTCAAGAGCTTGTTCGGCTCAACACCGAAGCCGAGCCAGATGGCGTCAAAGCCGCCTCCGTTGCCGTCAACCCCTCCGCAGCAGGTTCGCATGCCCAGTACGGAGAGTATCAAGGTCTATACGCCGCCGGGGACATTCGCCTCGACGGGTGTTCTCAAGCCAGAGCCGTACCCGACTATCGTCGTGGGGAACGGTGCAAGCTTCAGCGAGATGATTGATCAGGTAGGGTTTAAGAATAGCAAAGGTGATCCGAGCTACAGCGTCAATGAGACCCCTAGGTCAAGGAGCAAAAGTCCTCTCCGTCGCCTTTGTTGATGGCGAACAGCTTTTTCTCTTATGTGTCTGTATCCGTTCGTTTGCATAGAGGAAAAGGTGTGATTCTTTATTAGCAGTTGGCGTATACACTATTTAGCGTGCTGTGCACATATACAGTTGTTCTTTGTCTCGTGGTTTGAAGCAATAGTTCCCTTCTCATCTGTCTAATCATCTAATGAAAAGAAGGTTTGTCTTCTCTAATATTAAGCTACAAGCAAGGGTTTGGATACAAAGTTTTGAAGCATGGAAATAGCTTGAATTCTCTGCTGGTTCTCAGCCCTCAGAATAGATAATTAATGTTGAATCCAGAACACGAGAGACCAGCTGTTACCTGAGTGTACGGGTACGACTCGTAGCTCAGACATCCGATAAAGAAGCAATAGCTCCATCCAGAATGACCGAGTCACGTCGTTTGATGTTGATAAGTAAAGAAACAGCCAGTCCCGACGAGCCAATGGCATTCGGTGGTGAAATACCAATTGCTTCAGAGTTGATTTTGTCTGGCAAGTTCGGGCCATTAACTTCCTCCACCATCTTGCCATCTATTCAGAGTGGAAACTTGTGACTTTGTCTGCTCCTTCATAAAAGAAAGTTTCGACTTTCTCTAGCTTTCATTTTTGCCGTTCATACACTCAGGAACTGTGATTGGGATACGGGCCCAGTCTGTTGCTTCGGGATTTCTTGTTTGTATGACTGCACCATCGCCAACATAGTCAATATGCATATTGTTTCCAGTTACAGCGACAAGAGGGCCCCCGCGGGATCTTATAAGGTGCCATGATCAAGGCAAAAAGTGATGTTTGTGTACTTGATCTTGAAATACTTGTGAGCTATAGCTTTCTAATTCCTATTCCTAGGCACACTACGTCATTTATATAAGATTTGGTGTCTTCTCATGGTACATCATGCATGGATAACAATCATGCAACAGGCTGAAACTCTAGGTGATTCTATGGCAAAAGAATTATCATGTGAATTCAATCGTTCAGTTTAAGGAGAGCCCAGTCTTTTGGATGCGACAAGTGGTCAGTATCATGTGGTGAAAAGACCATTGGCATTGGCCTCATCGGCACCAGTCTATATGCGAGAACCGGCATTACCCTGTTGATGTGGACTCTATAACGTAACCATTAGATTGCCTCGATCCCATAGTATTGGATCTGTGGATGATTTCCGAAAGCAGCACTATTAAATGAACCTCTGATGCTTCCCTGTACATGACTGGGTGACAGCTAAACTTGATATGATACACACAATGGATAAAGAAGCAATTATGGTTAGTGAGTTATAAAGTGGACTGATAACCTCCAGAAAAGTATCAAATGATATATAGAGAAGAATCAGGAGATGCTTAAATCTTAATGTTGAATGTGGATATAACCGATGGTTCATCTTGAAAGCCTCAGCCATGGGATTAGGGTTACTGATAAGCTTATGCTTAGAATCTGCTTTAACCTGATCCAGGCGGCATGATGATGGAGATATCTGGGCTCGGCTAGATCTAACCTTGGGCTTTTAAGATGATGACTTACCATGAAATCAAAGTTGAGGACGGCCATATTGATATGCGACATCAATCAATCAGACCGCAGGTACCTGAGCTTTTACAGAGGGCGATTATGCTTAATACAATCTGCAGACAGCACAGGATTATCTGCTGCCAAAGCTGCAGGGTATTAGACTGGTATTCTTCCAAGTCGGGCTCTGTAGTCACACCACCACATCAGCTCCCAACCACTCGAACCAAAGTCTAAGAGGGCTTTATCCCCCAAATAATAGCCTTGTTGGATATGGAGAGAGGCAAACTCGTGAGGTAGTGGCCATCGAAATCACATCTCAACCATGGCGACAGCCTGGGCAAAAAGGTGTATACCCGACCATATAAAGGCACTTGTGCAACCTACTGACTGGGTCCTCTCCTGTTTATAGAGTAGGACAAGGGTTTCCTAAATCCCTCAAAAGCAAAAATGGCAACCGAAGTTGAATTCTCTGTCATGGGAGGCGAGGTCCTCGCACCAGAAACTGAGATTGATATCCATGCTCCTCGGCCAGTTAATCCCCAGGGTGCCCGCAGCGCTGTCATTGTCACCCAGGATGGCCGGAATGTTTTTGTTCCCGTCACTGTTGACCAAGGAGGCACCACCATTAGAATCTGCACTGACGATCTGGGCCAAGGCAGCTTTTACTTGCAAGTTGATGAGCTGCTAAGACAATAACGGGGAGGAGCTTTTGCATTATCAGAAGATACCAGTTAGCTTCCATCCTCTGGTGAGGAATGTGCCGCGTTCGTTGCGGGTTGTCCATGCCTCCTATATTGCGGTCAGTGAGGAGGCAATCCAAAAGCTCCTGCCTGGCAAGAGCGTCCCGCCTGGATTTCAGTATGTGGGATTTATCCTGGCTTTTGACGAGAAGAACGGCGACCCTGTATCCTTTGCATTCAACGAGAAGGGCGAACAGATCGATGGCAAGGCAGTTTTGGACAAGTTCCACCAAACCCAACTGGCGAAGTTGGGACGCCTCCATGAAACTCTCCTCCATAAACTTGAGACTGTCAATGCTAGCCAGCCGCTTAGCATTGCTGTCTGGCCTGAGATCAAGCTGGACCTCACTGGATATGACAAACCAAACGAAGGAGAGATCGAAAAGCCTCCAGAAGCTGCACGCGCTCTCGTTGCTGACGCTGTGAAGGCTAGAGGTGCCATAGTCAAAATCATGAAGGATCTCGGTGCCACGGTAGAAGAGACTCCGCCAGAGCAATTGGTCATATATGTGACCCTCGAAGTCTCTAAAGTCCTTAAACTTGCACAGACTCCAGGTGTGGGTCAGGTATTTCTCGACAACCGCACTGGGCTCAATGATCTGGTCAACTCGGAAGCGATAGGTCGCGCAGCTCCGGCTCAAGCTCTTGGATATACAGGACAGGGGGTCCGTGTTGCCGTCTTCGAAGCTGGACCTTCCGATCTCACCTACCTTGCGTTCGACGGCAGATATACCGAAAGCCCTGAAGGGAATGACCACGCACGACTGACTAGCGCTATCATCAAAAACGTCGAGCCTGGGAAGCCGCACGGCTACGCCCCGTACTGCTCCCTTTATTCCGCTAACAGTTATGACAATGCTGCATTGCGATGGGCGGTCGGTTCACCCCAGAACTGCACTGTCATCAGCCAGAGTTTCCACCGCCCCGATGAGCAGCACAGTGCGAGTCTGTCGGTCGATGACATCCTGAAGGACCACCTCGCGACGCAGTGGCCCTTTCCAACAATCGTGCAATCCGCGGGGAATGTCAGCCAAGCATCCCAGTATGTCAGTCCAAAGGGGTTCAACACAATCATCGTCGGAAGCCACAACGATACCGCGACTGCAATGGCTGGCAGCTCAGCGTTCAGAAACCCAGCCTCGCCCGACCGGGACCGCGAGCTTCCCGAGCTGGCTGCCAATGGCACGGGGGTTACTGCCGTGGGACTGACCATGTCTGGCACTAGCTTCTCGGCCTCGGCCGTGGCAGGAACCGCTGCTCTACTCCAGGGCGTCAACTCGACGCTGAAGTCCTGGCCCGATGGCTGCAAAGCCATCCTCCTGGCCAGCGCCGGTCCCACCGTCAGCGGTGACACTTGGGCGGAAGACAATCTCCGGGGCATTGACCAGTCAGATGGGTCTGGTGCTCTGAATGCCGAGATAGGCGTGTTGATTGCACAGAACCGCCAATGGCGCGATCTGCCGCCTGCTCCTCGCGGCTGGGACGTTGGTTCCTTGAAGGATATTGATTTCGCTAGTCAGTCCATGTCCAAGTTCTTCTACAAGGCGGCCGTACCCGACCCCGACCCTGCCATTCCCAGAAACGTCTATACAGTCAAAGTAGCTCTAGCGTGGGATGCCAAATTCCCATCCAACGTCACCAGAGTGCAGAGTCCAACTGTCGCCTTTCTCCTCGCTATCTACAAGAGCAATGGTGGCCGTCCGGTTCGGTACTCTGGTTCGTTCGACAACAACTATGAAATCGTCGAGTTTATCGCCATGCCGGGAGAAGAGTACCATATCCATATCGCTCGAGCTTCGGGCTCGGGAACTGTGTGGTATGGGCTTGCTTGGAACGTCTCATCCTCGGCAGATATCTGTCCTGCCCACGTACCTGCTATGGAATGACCTATCAACCTCGAAGGTGGAACGCATGTTGCGCTACTTTTTTGATTTATAATGATGACTTCTTCTCGGATATCAAGGACAAGAAAGATATCACACCGGTAACATAACTTATCGAGCATCTTGAGACTGCAGTTGAACGGAGGACTAACTTTCATCTTGACTATTGCTTAACTATTACCAATTACGGCACCGAGAATGTGAATCCCAGTCGACTTGTCTTGATACATTCTGTAGAAAGATCCCAGTATGTGAAGATGTCCTGGTTCCTCGCCTGCTACGACCTAATCACTGCTTTTCTTGGTCGTAGGATGAATTCGGATACCCGCCCTGCCACCCCAGGGGAAGAATATGCACATAAACAGTAATAGAACACGGAAAGAGTTTTTCGCGGCAGCGTAATACCTGGGCTAGCCATCCTCACCAGAAGAATCCAAGCATATCAGAATACCTCTCAACAATCTTACATGCTGTATCGACTGAAGTCCATGGCACTACAGCATGTGCGAAGCTTCCATTATAACCAAAGTCCGCTAGCCAACGGTCACTACTACTACTGCTGGGCTGAATTTGGCCCATCCGGGCCCTTTATCCGACGTTTCTTTCCTTTCTGCAGATCTCAGGGGAGTTTGGGAATCCGGAGACTGACGTACTATTAGCAACGCACCATTCCTTGATACTAGTATGATAGTATGCTTACCGCCGAGCCTGTAGTTGATAGTGACCACAACGACATCCTCATTGACTGCCAGCGATGTCCCATTATAAAATATGAAACTGGTAGAGCCAATTTGCAGGTTTCCCTATAAGATTTCCCCTTGTCACCATGGTAAACTATGATCCCAGGTTTAACAGCAACTCAAGTATAAACCATCTTCACTTTGATTCAGCTTCACAATCTTCCACTCCTCTGCCAAGTAATTCTGCGTTGGGGTCCTGCCTGGTCATAACTTAGTATTACCTTAGTAAAGTGCGCCATCAGACCAAAGGGAATACAAACCAGTGGCTTGCTGGATGCATGCTGGCTTTAGTTCCTGTGCCCGAAGCGGGTTCTCCCATGAATCGGGGGCTTCTGGGCGGGCAAATCTCTCAGGGGGCGATTTGGCATATGGGACACCCAAGTATGCATTTGCATGACCGGTGCTACTGGGCTGGTTGAGCGGTGACAGAGTCGTTCCTACTATTGTACCAGCTGAGATAGTCACAGTTGGGTTGCCAGCACGTACGATAGTAGCGAAATTAGCGAAGATGACGGTACAAAAATCGGGAGATTTAAGGAGCATTTTCCTTCCTAGACAATAAGCTGTGATTGCTCAAGGATACTGGGGCATAAGTATAGGAGTGTCTTGAGTGATGTATTGATATCTTACCTACAGAGGATGCTGGCTATGGTATATCATATATGTCCAGAGATCGCTTTGAATTTACCTTGGAACTGTTTCATTGTAGCCGTCATTTAGATTATTCTGGAGTCTGCACCATCTGACAGACCATCCTGATAGCAATCATGCCACGATATAGTAAGACATTTGCTTGGCCACCTGTTTCTGTTTGCGGAAGACTACCTACCTTGCAATGTACATCCTGGTCATGACCTGCTTCATGTCTTAGCTATTGAGTTCTATCCACTGAGAACCATATTATGACGAAGCTGCAACATGTGATCTCGCACAGAATACATCACAAGTCCCAAACCTGGAGTTCGATGCTTTACGTGGCTGCAAGAAACCTAATCTGAGGTCTTGCACATCTGCAGATGAATTCCTTTCCAAGGAAATCTCATCCCAGGTTACAGTTTCCTGAAGAAAAACAGTTCAACAGTCTACCTTGATTTCTCGTGTCAATGACCATGTAAACTAATCAGACGGATCGTCGATTGATTATTATACCGATAATGGAATACTATATACTACATCAAACAAGTGAAGACATTATTTATGAGGACAATGCCCGCCTAGCCTTCCGATCCGAAATAATCCTCTTGACCTCTTTCAGCAGCCCCACGACAAGAGGGACGCCAATGGGCCCCAGCAGGGGCAGGTATACGGCCACTTTATGTTCATCCGGGAAATACATCTGCCCCACCATGCTCTTCTCAAAGAAACTGCGCTCGGCCTCTGTTTCCGCCACGCGGGCGCTGGCAAGAGCCGCTTCGAAGCGGCCCTCGCTGAGATGAGCGCATGCCGAGGCTAGATGAGCGAGAGTGGTGGATACAGACGCGGCGACGTTTGCTGGGATAGGGATCGAGGGAAGAGACTCGGTGAGACGGGCGAGGGAGCCCATGGTGGAGGATGCGGAGAGGAGGAGCGTCGCGGCGCGGACGCGGATCAGCGTTTGCAGACGGAATGGTAGGGAGGTAGGCGTAGTAGGGACGCCAAGTAAGGTGAGAAGCTGGTGGGAGAATGTCAGAAAGGCGGCGCGTAGTGCATCCTTGGAGAGATGGGTTAGGCTGGAGTGGTTCTCTTGGGTGGTCGATAGAGGAGGGTTGAGGAGGAAGACGCCGCCCCATTGAGGGATGATCCAGCTGGTTGCACCGCCCTCCTTGACGAGCATGGGCGACTGTGAAGGCTCAGGCACATAGAGAATGAAGTTAATTGTTGGGCCGTTTCCGATACTAGGGCTCAAGGGCCATTCGGCGGCGTTGATGAAGGCGCTCAGATCTTCCTTCTTCAATGTCCAAGCTGCTAGCGCCTCGTCATATTCGGGCTTGGGTGCGGTTGGAGAAAATGTTGCGTATAGCTGTACTTGGGTATCAACAGTGAAGTTGCTAATAGGTTCCAGCGCTTGTAGCAGAGGGGAAATGTACTCCTCCACAGCTGCTTGAATGTCCCAGGAGGAGGGCTCTGCGCCGGGCGTGAACAGAGAAAAGGCAAGGTGATAGGTCTCGGCATATTTCATGGACAGTCTCAACCGTCTGCTGATACTTTCTGCTAGTTGCGGAGAGATGGAGTTGAGAACCGCCAAGGGCTGCTGATTGTTCGATGATGGAGGAGTGTTGGTGTTGGCGCTGCCCATATTGCTCTCGGACAGGATTTGCGCAATGATTGCCTTTTCCTCCGTAAACAGACTCTGTAATTCGCTCGCGATGAACGCCGACAAGGGCGAATTGGAAGACGAGGGAGCGGGAATCTGGGCCGGGGGATACATGATATCCAGCTGGGTTGTTTCGGAATGAAGCTCTGCTCTGGGAGCGACCAAATCCTCCTGAGGTAACAGTCGAACCGTCAACGCGGTATCAGGTTTGCCTGAACCAGCAAGCACCGACGGTCCTTGCGCGCTCGCATGGCTTTCTGCAGCGATTGTGTCTTCGGCCAGTTTCAGGCGGAGGTGATGGGCGGAGAATTCGTTGAGATCGTCAAGGGTATGCTGCGTAGTTCGGAGAAGATTCTGGGCCTCTGGAATAGGCATAGATGGCGTCTCAAAACGGATTTCAAGAGGAAATACAGGACGGCAGGTCTGTATAAGGTACCACATGAGTGTCTGCTCCAAGAACTCTCCGCTGGTGGACTTCGGGCATATACACTTACCTTTCCATTGGCCCAATCGACCATCTCCTGAACGGGCAAATGAGCCCGATAGATAGATGTTGTCTTCCACCATATCGGAAATCCTAAAAAGATGATGACGGCCCAGAATGCAGCAATAACTCCGAATCGAGCCCGAATAGCCTCTGGCTTCTCGGGCGGAGGAAGTTGTTGCGCGCTTGTCTTGGAACTCATGGTGGAGTGGTCGGAAGGTTGTGCAGTGGATTGTATGGAAGACCGCAGGTCTTCATGCTTGCTAGTCATGACCAGGACATTCTTTGTTTTCGTGCCTGCTTGAGCGATGGCGTTGAAGGCACTCGTCGTGCTGGGAGAGTGTCTAACAGGAGGCGGAGGGAGGGCGGAGAACAGAGTGGCAGCATCAATTCCGCCGAGGTGCGACAGAAGACCCTACAAAAGAGGATCGTACAGCTGGCAAGTTTCCTGATAGATTAAAGGCCTACACTGTTCGAGACCAAGTAATTATGGTTATCATTATCACTTAATTTGCGAAAATGAATTGAGGACCCATGATGCCACTACTCAAGGCAATGATGTAGATTACATGCAGCAAAGTCCCTTTTCCTAGGAGTTTATAGTACAAAATTTCCGGGTATCTCAGAGTATGCGCCTGTTGAATGAGAAACGACAACGCGAAAGAAAAAAAAGTAAATGAAGAGAGTCCCACGTCTAGTATTCCTTCTCGAAGATTTTCTGGATCGGTTTTGCTGCCTAGAATCCATCGTCAGCAAGTAATCTTGGAGGGATCGATGCTCAATGTCGAGAAAGAGGATAGACATACATCAATGAACCGTTCAAGATCTTGGTCCAGGCTAGCCAGGTCGTCTTTCCGCTTTTTGTTCTCTGCGATCAAAGCTTGCTTGCGCTTCAGAAGCTCCTGTCGCGCCTGTTCGAGCTTCTCCCGCTCCGCATGTTCGTGATTAATGCGTGCAATCATAAGTTCGTGTGAGTCAAGGTCGGCATGTTCGGGATGGAGGGCCAGAAACTCCTCCACAGGGATTAATGGCAGGGAGAGGTATTTGTGACTAAGAGACAGCGACTAGTTAATCCAACCGCAAGGAAGCCAAATGAACATTGGAGCAACGGTTCCACGTACTCATATGATTCACAGGCAGCGATTTCTCCAGTCAGATGCCGTTGTTCATAATACAGATTCTGCAGCTGCAGATGTAACCGATCGATCTCTTGCCGAGCTTCTGCCGTAAGTTGTTTCGTCTGGCGGACCCGAAGAATAGCATCCCGACTCTGACCACGAAGCTGGGCTAGAAGGGCAAAAAGCTGTTTTTGCTGTTTAGAGGCAGCCAGAATCGCCTCTTCGGGGTCAGATGAAGGAGACTGTGCCGTGGGATCTAACAAGGATAAAAGCTTCTCGCATTGTTCCCGCGTCTCGGCGCAGGTACGCAAAACGGGTAGCAATGAGGGATCGGAGACAATGTCACCGATAGTCATGGCGAATTTGCGAAGAATTGAAATGGAGGGGAGCGATTGATAGCGTTTGGGCAGAAACCTGTGGCGAAGATCTGACCGAGGAAGAATAATAGATAGCAGGAGAGAGAAGTATCGGAGAACGTGGAGACACGGCGAATGCTCATGGGCTGGAGATGGAGAAAAAGGTTATTATCTGGATCATGAGGGGAGAAAGGGAAATGCAGCACATACATATCTAGTTAACGATAAGGCTTGAATATCTTTTGCCTTACCTTCAGCTATCTACCTGTTAATTTTCACATGAAGAGGCTGGGGTTTCTGATTGATGATTACAGTCACCCATGATCCCATCTGCTGCCCCTCTTGGCCTCATTTCTCCTCCAATCTATCTGCGTCTTCGTCTTAAAGATTATCGCCTCCCCCCACCCGCTCTTTTTCGCGCTGTCTGACCGTCTCTCACTCTCTGTCTCTCATCATCCTTTCTCTCCACTCTTTCATGTCTGCTCATCTCGTCTTAAGTGTTCTTGACTGATATAAAAGCAATTACTGTGAACCTCTCCACTCAACTATCGACCTCTCCCCCTTACTCCGTACTTTTTCGCTGATCTGGGATATCGTTCCGAGATTCCGCTTTTCGGCTCCCAAGTTCCCAACAATAACAACAGAGAGGCAATTCCTCACCCAGACACCAACAAACCATAAGACTATGCGGGTTTGAGAGATCCAGATATTAAAGGTGGTGGAAAAGTCTGGGCTTGAATTGTCTGTTGATCAACAATGGCCTGCACAACGCAATCTGTGACCCTCGAGTCGTATCCAGATGCTACCTCAACATCTTTTGCGTCAATTCCCAGCGAGGAAACCAGTCTTTTGCGCGATCGAAGGCGTAGGCACTCATTCCATACGGCTCGGAAACTGTCTTGCGACTATGATGGCGACGCTATTTTTCTAAGGGTATGGTCAAAGACCAGCTGTGAAATGTTTACTCTGTTCTGACGTTCTTCAGGTTGAGCTCTTCCTAACGGAATTGGAGAGACGCATGCATTGGATCGAACAGTATCGAAAGTCGCACATGGTTCAGATCGACTCGAGCCTTCGCAGAGCGTATGCGACACTTGAAGCCGTGAGAGACTCATGCTCCTACGCCTCCGGGGAGCTTATGGGAGGTGGAAAGAAAAGAGCCAAGATCCTGGTCGAAACCCTCGAGGATCGCTACAACGATGCGCTGGCTACAAAGGAGACGCTGGAGCAAAAGGCTCAAGCCGGAGTACGCCTGATGGAGTCCTTCCTGGTCGAGCTGGAATCTCGAGCCCATGCGGTTCGCGATCGGGGTATTTATGGCGCTCTGGACGATGGATGGAAAGCGGTCGACTCGAAGCTGGTGCACGCCCGTGAGGTGGTCGACGAGGGGATAGAACAAGCTCGACGAGCCAAGGATTCGCTACGCGAGAGCATTAATCGTGCCATTTTACTAGCTCAAGAGCAGCGATTGATCACCTACGCTGACCTTCCTCAGCCGTGGCGAATCAATCCTCACATCTTGCAGGGATATCGCTTTTCCTCATCGAAGGTTGAGTGTCTCAAGTCGGTCTTCAGCTTCTGCAACGAAACGGTCAATATCTGGTCGCACTTGATCGGTCTCTTCATCGTCCTCTCGGTCGCCTTCTACTTTTACCCTCTTAATCCTAATTTCCACCTGAGCACCAAGACTGATGTGGCGATCGCTGCTGTATTTTTCTTTGCTGCGTGCAAGTGTCTGGTCTGCAGTACCCTGTGGCACACCATGAACAGCATTGCCAACCAGCCTCTGATGGAGAGATTTGCGTGTGTCGATTACACAGGCATCTCGCTTCTGGTGGCCGCCTCGATTGTGACGACCGAGTACACGGCTTTCTACTGCGAGCCCCTTTCTCGCTGGACATATATTCTGCTGACCATGTCGCTCGGAATCGGCGGTGTCATTCTGCCCTGGCATCCAACTTTCAATCGCAACGACTTGGCCTGGGCGCGTGTGGCGTTCTATGTGACGCTTGCGCTTACAGGATTTGCACCTTTGTTCCAGCTCACTTATACCCGTGGATTCGCCTGGTGTCTTTACTTCTATGCCCCCGTCATGAAGAGTATTCTGGTCTATTTTGCCGGAGCCTGCATCTACGCCTCTCAGGTTCCTGAGCGGTGGCGCCCTGGGCTTTTCGACTACTTCGGTGGCAGCCACAACATCTGGCATCTGGCTGTGCTCGGTGGCATTCTGTTCCACTACTGCGCCATGCAGGATTTGTTCGCTAATGCCTTCGTCCGAGCTAAGGGAGAATGTCCCAGCCTGACGGCATGAAGAGCGTCCGAACAAACAATTCAGCGCTCAGCGCACGATCGGCTACGATTAAGATTCTACGACATTTTCTGATTGCCATACACAAAAGCATTTAGACATTGAGCCCATGGACTTACGGTGACGTACCGGCCAGCGGTTGACTCAGTCCCGTGCAAGTCCCTGTCATAGACTTCTTCAAGCACTGATTTTGAGCTCTTGCTGTTGAGTTATTGCGATTGCATAGGGAGCGTTGCTCGTTTTGCTCATGTTGTGCTTACACTTGCCGGTTCTCTCGAGACCTCTTCTTGTAAATACTCCTGCTGGAATCTCTGCGCCTTGTATGGCTGCTTGTGCATATCTGAGAGACCGGATACTGTTATTAATCTCTAGCTGCTTTGTTGTTCTTTTAGTCGAACCTAGGATTTTTGCGACTTGCTGTCATTTAGTTGAGTATATACATCAGTCCTTGGTATACATGATGTTCCTTTTCAGGAGAATGCAATTCAAAGAGAACAGAATGAGTAAATGTAGGAGCAAATCTATGTGCGCCAAGTAACTTGACAAGACATTAACTGAATGCAGGTACTCTACTGTCTATATTCTTCATGTCATAACATCATTATATCGCTGCTGAGACCGCCCTTCCTGCCGGACACTAATGTCGCAGGGCTATCACCCGAGGACCCTCTCTGAGCAAGGTTGTCAAGGTTCACAGCAACAGGGACTGTAGTGGTTGGTTCTATCTTGATTGAAGACAGAGACACCAGTGTGGCTGAAGCTGCTCTTGCTGAAGTGAGACCGACGACGGTTGGATATGCGGTGACGTGCAGCCAGTGTCAAGAGCAACGCTCAAATTTTGCGTCTATCATGGAGGGATTCCTCAACAGTGTACGGTAGCACTCCAATTCACGAATCCGTCTTTTCAGCTTCCACAGCGGCCGGTGTCTCGCGCTTTCTGTAATGAGCTTGGATCCAGCAGCGGTACATCTTGAGTTTCCGCTGGCGATTGACAATCAAGCGTCGATCGATGCCTATCTTCTCGACATCGAATGCGCCCTCGGTGGACTCCGCCGCGATGGAGTTGTCCTCGGCCATCTGCAGGCCCCTCTCTGGCGTCCATGTCCCCCACATCTTCTCCAGCTGTTCTTTCTCGAAAAAGTAGACCCTGGTGCCGTCGCCGCGGACATAAAAATTCTCATCCATGTACCGGCCTTTTTTGAATCGCACCTGAGCCAGATCGCCGCGCCCATAGTCGCGGAACAGAACGAGCCCACCCGGTTTCAATACCCGATAGACATTCCGAATAGCCTGGTCCCATTGACTGGGCGCTAGAGCCGAGAAAATGAAGATGAGAATGACCACATCTACCGACCCCTCCGTCAACCCCGGAGGAAGTCCGTTATTCTCCTCATCCGGCACGCCAGTCACATCCCACACATCCGCGGAGATAAATTTGGGATCATAGTGCTCGCTCTCGCGCATAACCTGAACCGCCGTCTTGGAAAAATCACACGCATGCACCATCAACTCCTCGTTCTCATTATGCGTGATGAGCGGAAACGCCGTGTTGCCCGCACCGGCACCAACCTCAAGCACCACCTTCCTGCCCGCGCCCTTCTGCGTTACCTCGGCGAGCACGGGAAACTCCTGGCGCAGCCACTTGCGGTCTTTGAAGAAGTTGGCCGTGTTGTTCTTGTAGAACAGATTCCACCATTTCGCGGGGTCCTTGTTGAAGCGCTGCTTGTCGAAGTCCGAGACGGGGGATTCGCGCTGCTTGGCGTATTGCACTTCGGCGAAGGCCTTGAACTCGTCATCCGGCTCGACATGGTCCCAGGCGTTGAATTCGAAGACGTCGTCGCCTTCTTCGAGGTAGCGGGAGCCGAACTGGTAGGGATCAGTGCGCTTGAGGTTATTGGCGGGGTCGTGAGAGCGATGCGCGGGGACGGTGGGAGGCTTGACTGATTGTATGACGGTTACAAGCTCATCTTTAGAATCTGCGTCCGGCCACATTGTAAGCGGTTGGCTTCGTTTTTAGCGTTCTTTAAGACTGGTGAAAGAGTGTCTATGGTCTATGGCGCTAGGTGGAAGGTGTTCAGGTACACAAGGAAAAAATCACCGATAACAACAAATTTACTGGGGAAAAGCTAAATTTTTGAACGCCTCAGGCAAAAATACAGCGGGGCGGCGTATCTTATCGGTAATGCTGCAGCCAATCACAGAGCGAGACAATATGGGTGCCTGAGTCCATGGTACAGGACTGGCCTGAGGCATTGAGGCAGTGAGGCACTGAGGCACAGCCAGGGCAGACACGAAGCCAACTTCTGTCATCTTCGCTTCCCTCTTTCTTCTATTTTCTTCTCTGTATCCCCTCTTCTGCTCATTGACTATTCATCAGTCCAGCTATCACGCTGGACTCTGCTGAGGATCATGTTGCTCTGATATCCAGACACCTACTGAAGTCAGCCTTGCTGACATCTGACAATCCATTGATCCGAGCGTCTTCCACATTACTACTTGATCTCCATTGATGAGCCAAATCCATTACTACTTATTACCTTTGCATATACACGTATGATAAAGTAGCCTTTTATATTCTTATCATCAGGGATCTCTTAAGCCCTCGTCGTACAAAAAGTCAGTCATGTCACTTCTCAGCGGGCTGTGCGGCTGCTTCGCACCGAAGAGTTCCCCGCGCCCACCATCAGCCCGGGCTCCAAGCCGAGCAATGGCCGAAACACATCACCATCATCACTATCACAATGACAGCAACTTCACCCCTCACCATCATCCCGATGAAGGGCCGGTCTACATGACCTTCGATGAGGATGGGTACACTCCACCCGTCCCGCTGCCACGGTACACCCCTCGGCCGATGAGCAGCATCCAAGAGAAGACGCTGGAAGCGCACATGCGCGATCCGCCCATCTCCTCGTCACGCTCCATCGCCTCGCTGCATGATGAGAAGAATCCGCGCGACTTTGCCAGCACCGACGGCGACGAGCTCACCTCGGACGTCTCCTCGGCGATTTCCTTCCCAAGCAGCTACGGCAACACCTCGACGGCCACGAGGGAGACGCCCCCGCCGCCGTATTCGCCGCGCATCTCGCCTGCCCCGTCGAGGGCCATGTCCATCTCCTCGTTGTATCCCCCGCCACTCCCTCCGCCGCCGCCTATGGCGCACATTGCGCAGCCTAGACCCGATTTGCGGCGGGAGTGCCTGCCGCGGGATCTTGCGGGGCATGGCCGGGCGAGTTTCGAGAGCCAGCGGCGCTTCTCGTGGGAGAGTAGGTGATTAACGAGTAACGATGTTGTAGTGATCATTCGCCTTTTGTTTCTTTGCCGGTGGCTCATAGTTGGGCTCCTCTTTTCGGTGGAAAGCATTCTTTGCACTTATAATAATTAATGGTAGGCCTCGACGGCCGGATGGAAGCATTGGGTTCTTTTGCTCTTTGGAACTGGATTAAGCCACATCATGCTATGCATGCAGGATTTAGTGGCTGGCGCAATTGGACGGAGTACTTGTTGGAATACATTGCACATACGCATCTATAATAATGACGAGTTGTTTATGAATGAACATTGATTCGGTATCAGTCTACCAGCTGACAGGCTCATATGGTACAATTAAAGGTACCTCCATCTCAGCACGTTCCTGAACATGCCCGAGCAGATACCCACAGACCTCCGCCGGAAACTCCAACAGCCGCAAGATGCGCGGATCCTCGCTGTTCTCGAGATACATGCAGATAGCCGCACACTCGGAACGCACCCGCGTCTCCGCCCACCAGCACTTACAAGAGTCCAGCATCGCCAACCACCAGCTGAGAATGATCAGCGCCGGCGGGTCTTTCTTGGCAAGTTGCGCCCAGAAGCTCGGCAATAACCGGCCCATGAAGGTCGTATACTTGGAGAAGCTCTTGATGGACCGTTCTGCCTGCAGTAGCAGCGAGAGCATCCGCAGCGGCGCCAGGTACGGATTACTCTCTTCGGTGGTTGTGTCGTCGATACCGCAGATATCAGCGAGCTCCGGGTGCAGACCCTCCCGTCCGGGCGGTGGATCCTCGAAGGCTTGATTCTCATGTTGAGACGCCATGAAGACCTCCCACCACATGCTGACGTACAGCCAGGGTTTGGTAAGCCCCAGGAGGTGGCGCAGGCCGCTCTGTAAGGTGAGCCAACTCAGGGCTTGTGGATCGTCGGAGAAGACGAAGGACTTGCGGGGGTTGTATTCCTCCAGTTGGAACGCGTGGACGGTCATGAGGAGACATGTGGAGAAAAGAGCGTCCATGTTATGCGGACCGACTGCGCAGCCGAGCTCCTTGGAGTACTGGCTGATGGCTTGCTGCCAGTGGTACGCTTCCGCCATTTTGTAAGGGGTGCTGTCAGGCACCGCATGCCGAAGATGGGAGGTTGCCACCGCTATGATGGTGTGCATGAGCAGGGGTGTCTGAATCTGTCAGCTGCATTCATCAATGCTCGGATGCAGGGCAACTGACACTGAAGGCTAGTTGCATCAGTTGGTTTCTCAAGAGGATCTGTGTGCGCTGATTGGCAATCGTAGGGGTGGTGGCGTGGTGGAAATGATGCAGAGCGCGAACGGCATCGGGTAAATGTCGCTTTTTTGAGCCTAGCTGCAACAGCTCATCTATTTTGTCTGCCACTTCCAGGAGGTACATTGAATACTGGCTAGAGCTTGGCGATACCAACTCAGGATTTTTCTCAATGAATACAGAAACAACGCCCCTTTCGTTGGTTGGGCACTCCGGACCGGTGTATACACATGTGACGCCATGTTTCTGGCATCGCAGGCAGTGAGGTCGGGTCTCATCGCACTGGAGCCATCAGCATACTCTACAACACCAGGCCGAAACAGGAAGGTAACGTACTTTGACTCGTCTTCTCTTGCAAGTTAGACAGCCGGAGCGGGACTTGCGGTGCGGCCGCCGCGCATGATACGCACGCTCAGTGGATCTTTCGCTGTTTGATTGTCCAGTACCGGACGACCGGTACATGGGGACTCGAAATAGACTCTTCTGGCCTTGTAGAAGTCCTGACGGCCCGGAACGTTGGGGATTGGTCTTGGTTTGGGTTCTCTCGGCGGCCTCGGGCGAGACCGATGTTTCTGGAGAAGGTAACATTATCTTCAGAAGATCTTTGTTGTATTCTCTATACCGAGCCTTCAAGTGCGTTTCAGAGACAGCTTTGTCGGGTTGTTATAGATGGATAGAAATAAAGACTCTGAAGAGCGGATGCCTATCGGGCTCGATTGGCTGCGCCTTGCTATCCTGGTCGTCTGCTCTCACACGGCGGGATTGGTCCAGCTCATGAGTCAAGGCTGATATTCTGAGCTGATCTACATCGTACTCAGCCTATATTCTGATGCCGTCGCAGGTCGCTGGAAGATGAGTGAGGCTGATGGGAATACGAGAACACCATCATATAGATACGGCACTAGTCCCAAAATGGCAACTCTCGCATTCGCTTGTGGAGGCCTTACCTGAAATGGTAAAAGCAGTGCTTCTACTCCATACAGAATCAGCAAATGAATCTTGATCAAGCCCTCCCAGTCAAAAAGACGGGTAAGGATAATGAGATAATCATCATATAGAGGCTCCATTAGAGTTCCTGTTGACCTCAAGTACCTCAAGTACACTGATATCATTAATTCATACAGTCAATAACAGTAGACCCGCACCACCTTAGCCAATCTTTGCATTCGAAAAGTCCATCTCTGTAACACATTAGACCAAGATCATGCCGAGTCTCGACGAAAACATACCTGGATGTTCAGCCTGGAACTTCTTCAGAATGTCCATCTTCCGCTGCTCGTCGCTAGTCATCCCACCCATCTCCTTCTGCCGCTGATCGTACATCATCTTCTCGACCATCGCTCTCGTCTCGCCATCCAAATCACTCAAACTCGAGTTCTCCGGCGTGATCTTACTCACGTCGATCTTCGGCGCCGTCGTCACAACATGAGCCCACCATTCCATCTTATTGACCTTGTCCAGGTGAACCGAGACCTCCTTCCCGGGAGGCTGGGACGTCGTCTCCAGTGTCCAGGACGATTCATCCACGATAATAGGATGAGGAAGGTCGCCCTAGCTCACCATTAGCCCCTCTTCCCTTCCAGCTTTCCAGCAGAACCCAAACGGAACAGTGCGTGCTCACCTCAATCAACGCCTCCTGCCCCTTAATCGCAACCTTGATCTTCGTCTTGGTCAACACAACGTCCAGATCCCGGCCCTTGATATTCGTCGGCACGGGGATCGTCACGTCCACGTCGCGGATTGTCTGCGTCCATTTGTAGGGGAGCTGCGCCTGCTCGGCTTCTTCCTTGGCCTTGCGCTCTTTTTCTTCGCGTTCGCGGTCGGCGATGTCCTTGGGTGTGGGGTCTTGTTCGAGACCTGTGGATGACATTTTTATATTCCTGTGGGTTTGGGTGTATGAAGTTGTTTAATGTTGGTCGGTGAGGCTTGGAGCTGGAGAAATCGAGGTGTGGGGTTAGCTGTTGTTTTGCGCGGGGTTGCTCCTAGTAAAGGAACCTTAGCTTGGACGCTTACCTATGACAGGGACTGGGCAATATAACCTGATCCTAAGGATTAGGTAGATTAAGTAGGCGGGATTGTAGGCTGTTGAAAGTAAGAAGATCGAGCTGCACTTTTGGATATAATTCTATAATTCGAGTACCTTCTGTCGGTCCCGGCGGTTGGCGGGGCCGTTCCGCAGATCTGTCGTTGTGGAGACCCTTTCATGATTGAGAGCTTGAAAGCTTGAGGACCGACACTATAACAGCTATGTCCTTTGACTCTAAAGTCTGTCAGGTAGTGGCAATTGCGAGATGAAGCTTTGTAGTTTGACATTTATTGCTAGTTCTGACAATTCCCTGTAGCTAGTAACCGGACTCCTAACAAGGCACATACACGGAATAACAAGTACGCTCTTCCTAGTAAACGACCCGAACAATGACCAATATGCCATAACATACTCGCTAGCTCCATGACAATAAT